GACACCATCGCCCCCCCCCCCCCCCCCCCCCCCATCTGATAGAAAGATCACAAATTCCCATCCGACCCGAACTGGAACAGGGGACCACATCGCGTTAGTTCTGCAGAGAAAAAGGACTCCCAGAGCTGCGATCGGCATTAGGTTTGCCCAAAGTACGAGCCATTCAACAAGACAGAATCACAAAAGGCAGAGGGAATCTTTGCAAAATGACCACAACGACGGAAAGATCAACGGTGCAACAAAGCAGCACAAACAGGCGAGCGACACGAGGGGCAGCACCTAGGTAGGTAGCCATGCGTGGTGGCAGAGCAGCGCTCGCCAATCCTAGGGGAGGCAATAGGGCAATAGGCCACGAAGAACGACACCAAAGATCTCACGACGAGCAGACGTTCCAATATTACCATGAAGGAGAAAGCAAGCAGAGCCCACCCAGTCTGTATGCAGCAAGTGTTATCCCCCGACAAAAATCACAAACCCAGGCAGAAGTAAAGCCAGAAGAGCCATTTCCTCCAGTATGAACAAAGACAAAAACCCAAACCCACCATCCTCACTCAATGAGGACACCCGGGTATCACAGCGGTAACAAGCGAGATGGAACGAAGACCGGTCGAGGCGTCACGTCGATCGCACGAAGCCGTTGCATCCGTCGCTCGCCCGCCCAGACGAAAAAAAACAGCACAAAAAAGTCCTCAAAATGCGTGCTCTGCTTCACAGAACCGCGCACGTCGGCAAGAATGAAACCAGAACCGAGACAATAACATGAACAAAGGCCACAGCCACAGGCCGTATATGATATGAACCAGGCAATGATGAAGGGCACAAAACAGTCGGGCCAGTTCGGATACGTCCGAGGAATGATTATAGGGAGAGAAAAAAAACAAGTAGATTCAAAAACAAAGAAATAGACAAAGATGTGACGGCCGTGACCCATTATCGATTCTTTCGTTCAGCGTGAATCTGGAGCAGACCAGACGGATAAACAGTTGGTCGGGCTGATGTCAACGACACGACAATGTCGTCGAATCGCGGCAACCGGACGCAGTAGGCATTGGGAGGAGTGGAGGAGGCAGGGTCGCAGGCCAAGAAGTGAAAGAGACGATATAGAGTAGGAGAGAGGAGAGAGAAGAGAGATAAAGGATGAGACAGGGCGACAAGAGCCGACTGAGGCAGCAATCCAAAAAAAAAAATTGGTGGAGTGAAGGGGGTTGGCAAAGCAAAAAAGAAAAAAAATGATAATACGAAGCAATAGATGAAAGAAGAAAAAGATCCTCCGTGACTCCTCTAAGTTCCCAATCCCGGCCAAAATGCTACAAACCAATGCCCGCCTGTAACAAGCAAAAAAGGCTGTTCCCGTTTCGATGATGGGGATAGCCTGCAATGCACCGCCCCAGGAGGGCATGAGATAAAATTCTGCCCGGACCGAACAAAGGGGTGCGGGTGCCGCCTCGGAGCACCCGGCCTTGTTTTCCAAATCCTCTCTTCGGCAAATGACAAATCTGCCGACCATAAAAACGTAGCAGGCACACACCGAGCGTACTGGGTATCAAAATCAAGCATGTCGTGAGAACCATGATCGCGGCGGGCCCCCCATCACTGTTGCTGGTTCGGCCACCACTGAGACTGCTGGGCCTGGCCAGACCATGATTGCGTGACGGCGGGCGCGGGCGCGGGGGACTGGTGCATGTACTGCCTAGGCGTCTGGTCGTACGAGATGCCGTGGCCTGACGCAGCCGTTGTGTAGCCCTGCGCCATCCCCGGGATGCCAGAATACGGCATGCCGCCCTGCTGGACCTGTCCGCCCGGCTGTTGTCGGATATTGGGCTGCGGCGGCTGCTGTTGCGAGGATTGCTGCGACGGTGCTGATTGTTGCTGCTGTTGCGACGGCTGCTGTGACGGCTGCTGCGATGGTTGCTGTTGCTGGTGCTGGTGTTGCTGGTGCTGCTGGTGTTGTTGGTGCGGCGACTGATGGGCCTGACTCGGGTGGCTGTAGCTGTATTGCGGCGTCTGAGGTGTCTGCTGCCACATCTGGCTTGATTGCGGGTAGCTGTATGGCTGCGCGCCCTGCTGGAGACTGCCCGAGGACCCTAAGAGGTCAGACGAAAATACGACGTTAGCACTAGTTACCTTGGTAATAATCTCTCGTGCTTCGCGAGGATTCGGAAATCGGCAAGCTGCGCTTCCGGACGTACCAAGTCTTGCCGGCTGCATCTGGGTCTGCGACGTCAATGGCTGCGAGTAAGGCGGAGCCGTCATCATCAGCTGGGGGCTCTGCCCCGACACCACCCCGGCTGCCGGAGGCTGGGATGGCGGCTGCGGCATCCCACCCGTCGGAGCGGAAGAGTGCTGCTGACCAGGGTGCGGTCCCGCCCGCCCGCCGGCAGGGGTCCCGCTGGCAGCCGAGGAATCGGCCGGGGCCCCGATGGGTTGGGCCAGGTTAGGTTGAGACTGCACTGGCTGCTCGTGCGGCCTGCGCCACATGCCCTGTAGATAATCCCCCCGCATCTCGCGCTGGTGGTTGATGCCCCGGTTGAACTCGGCCGTGTGGTGAGCCTGTGCGTGAAGCTCGGGGATGGGCGCCGGCTGGGTCCTGTCTTGGTAGGCCGGCCCGGTGATCTCCTGGCGCGGGGCCTTGAGGATGTTCGAGTAGTCGCGGGTCCGGGTGTCGTTGTAGTCTGGTCCTAGCGTCATTACGGGCATCCTTGTCGAGGATCCAGAGGGCGCTCCAATCATACCTGGTTGAACAAGAGGGGCCTGGGGCGCGCCACCGAACTGGCCGGGAGTGTTACTGTACACAATCTCTCCGTGGGGTGCTCCGAGGATGGGGGCGTTCTGGCTCGCCTCCATGGCGGCCTCTCGGGCCTTGGCCGCGCCGGGCCTCTTCTCTCCCGCAAGGTCGTTCTCGGTAAATCCCTGCTTGCGTGCCTTGGCCTCCCAGTAGTCATCCCGCACCCTGCGACCGTGGTTGATGACGCGACTTCCGAACTGGCGGAACATGCTGCGCGCCGTCACGATGGCGATCTGGCGCGACCGATACGAGAAGGGGAGGACCTCCTGGTTTACCAGATCGTCCTTCTCCACCTGGTTGGCAATGATCTTGTAGAGCGATCTGTTCTTGTTGAAGAGCAGGTACGAATCCCGGTAACCCAGGACACGGGCGCATTCGGTGGCCAGCATGAATAGCTTCTCGCCGCGGTTCTGCACCAGGAAGGTGCGGCAGCGGTACTCGCGGCCACCGAGGAGCTGGCCATTGGGCATGACCTTCTTCTCGCCGGCCTCGTCCGTCTCGCGAGGGAGGTACTCGTCACCGCCGGGGGCGAGCTGGTCGGTCGTGTGGTCGCGCACCGTCGGGAGAGCCTTCAAGGTCGACTTCGGGGTGGGCTTTGGCGGGGGTGGCGATGCTTGCGACGGCGTGGCCGGAGGCGGGGCATACTGCTGGGGGCTCTGTAGCGGGAGCGGCATGCTCGCCGACTGAGGGGTCTGTGGCGGCATGGTCTGGGGGACGGACACGGGTGTCGGGAGGGGCGCCTGCGCTGGCGATTCTTCCAGGCTGCCACCGGGTCGGCCTTTCATGGGGCGTCCGCGCTTTCTAGGCTTGTCTGTGTGGGTGAGGGGACGAGGGTGCGCCGTTAGTCTGGGCCACGGCGCTGGGCGGGTGTCGCACGGCCGCGATATGTAACGCGAGCTGCCGAGCGCACACAATCTATGCCAGCAGTGTAAAGGGTACACAAAGGGGACCACAACATACCGTCATCCGCCGGCCCCGTATGGAGGGGGTCTCGATAGGAGTCTGGGGAACGGCTCCTCTTGATGCCCCGACTCAGTTCTGCGCGGCGAAATCAAGGAGACAAGTGTCAGCGACAATGCTTCCGGGCTGGCCGGGTTAGGCAGCACAGCGAGAGAGTGATCTACACAATGAAAACAGTAACGTGGAGAAGCTGCGCGGGGGCTGGGACCGAGTGAACCGTGTTCGACATGACTGCAACTGCCGTCGTCGCGACGGGAACCCCGAGCGCCCGTCCTCTCTGTGCTCGTTGTCGAAGCCCGTTGCAGCTCAAATCGCGCGCGCACATGCATGAGGCGCAAAGTGAGCTGATCTGGCAAAGACGTGTGGGCGCAAAGAAACCACAGCAGCTTGCTTTCCACTCCGTTTTTTTTTTGGCCCCTCTCCTTCTTGTTCTTTCGCGTCTTTTTCCTTCGGTTATGCCTGAAGCTTATTATTCGCGGGCATTCCAGCGACCCGGCTCGGTCGAACCACCCGCGCGGAAAGCGCGATCGCGTAAAGAGGAAAGAAAACAATCGGTTTAACGAGACGGACCGTCGGCAACGAGACAGGCAAACCGGGCGGCCAACGCACACACGGACAAAGCCGCCTGTCGCGCGCGACGGGAACAATGCTTGTGTGCAGCAAAGCGAGCGGGATGGGGGGGCAGGGGACGGGGCAAGGCAAACAAGCAGGACACGCAAGCAAATCAAGACGTAGTCGGCAACTTACCGGCCGAGTTGAGGGCAGCGGGATTGATGGTCGCACCTTCAGCGCCGTTAGGCTGTGCCGAGTACATGAGGGCGGCGACAGGCAGGCCGACCACGTCAACGGGCCTGCTGCGGAACGACGTGTGTTGTTGAGTGTAGTTGGACGTGCTCTGCTGTCGCGGGCAGTCGCTTTCGGTGCTGGTGGAGGTGCGCGCAGTGCGGTTAAGTTTTGATGCGAGCGCGCGTGTGCGGATGCGTGCAATTGCGGCCGCAGGTGCTAACGTTGTGCCAGTGCGCGAGGGCCTTGGGGTCAATGGACAGTCGCAACCCAACCCCAGAAAAGAAAAAAAAAAAGAAAAAAATCGGAAAAAGAAAAAAATAGTAAGGCTCCCGCTACGCAACCACTATCCGCAATCCACAAACGGGTGGATGCAGCAGCCGGGAAGGCGCGAAGCAACCAAGCAGGACAAGACTCGAGAACGAGGGGCGAAAATACAAGCAGCTAAAATGGAAATAAACCCAAATAAAATACGATAAAAATGCAGTAGGGCGTGGGCGAGGTGGGCGGGCAAGCAGTAGAGTGGTTGAGACAGCAGCGACGAAGGTAATAGGACAGGCAAGATTACTCGTGCGTCCAATGCGCGGCGCGAGCGTCAGTGCCTTTCAAGTCCCACCAGAGCTTTCCCCAGGCGACAGGGCGCGAGACGCAACAACAGCAATTCGGGAGCCCGAAACCCAAAGAATACGATAAAATGATAAAAGCAGGTTAGACCAGAAAAAATAAATAGATAAAAAGAAGGGCGAGGGAGGGGATGGCTTGAGGTCGAATGACAGGATGGCGACAGAACGTTGCGTCGAAAGGGTTGCGAGGTGCTAGGGGTAGAAGGGGTGAAAAGCGCAAATCAATCGAACGGGAATAAATGGATGGATGGATGATAGATGGATGGGGGAGGCAAGGTATGGATGGAGGGATGGGTGGATGGCTGGGCCGAAGAAGAGAGAGGGAGGGAAACGCCTTCGTTGCGAGCGACTGGCACCGTCCGTCCCCGAGACTTGGGAACGACGATTGATCACTCGCGGCCGTCCAGTGCTCCAGCTCTTCGCGGCGGGTGGGCAAGAAGGCACAACGCGGCGCACGCCGTCGCGGCGGGGAAAGGGGGGTGTGCGTGCAGGTCGCGCCGCCCCAGGCCTGGGACTTCGGCTAGGACAGTCGCAGCGAAGCGCGTGCGGCGCCTGGGATGGAGGGAGGGAGGGGAGGGGTTTGGATGTGGATGTGGATGCGGTCGGGTGGGACTCGAAAGTACTCCGTGCTTCTGGGTGTCTATCTGTACACCCCTGGCGCTCCGCTCTGGCAACCCTGGCCTTGGTCGCGCACTTGAGCTGCCTGACACAAGGCAGGCCTGCTTGGTCGTTTGTCTGTGCGGCGCGCGCGCACTCTTCTTGGCCGATTCACACACTGCGAACAGTTCTGCAGGCGTGCAGCGACAGTGGAGCACCGACCAGGCCGCCGCAAATAAGCCGACGCGAAATCGATGGATGCGATTGATGCAACGCCACCACCAAGACGCTGTCTCTCCACCATCCAATGCCAGCCTGACCTGCGTCAAAGTCGACGGGACGAGGGCAGCGCGTTTTTCTTCGTGTCCTTTCTCCGGCTCCGCCTTTGCCTTCCTTGTCCTGATCTCGTTCTTGTTCCCTCTCCTCTTCTTCTTCTTCTTCTTCCTTTTTCGGGTGGCGACCGATCGACAGATGTCGCCACAATCCCGGCGAGGTTGTGGGACAGACAGGAACCCGCGCAGCACAGCAGAGTCCACTAAAACAGAACAGGCCGTTCGCGCTTCTGCGTTTCGCGCCGAGTGGGTGTGTGAGTGGGCTGGAGGGATGGTTGATGGATATCCGTTCGAGTTGCAGGAAGGAAGGAACGGATTGGATGGGCGGGAAATAGAGGAGGATGGGAGGATGGATGGGAGGGAGGGGAGGGGGCAAAGAGCGACAGTCTTGACCTGCTGGGCTTGCAGGGGTGCTGGTGGATGGTGGCCGATAATGGAGGGTACTGTGTAAGCTCGCGCCGACTGGATGAGAAGCGGGGAGGGGAGGGAGTGATATGGGGTGGATGGATGGCACCTTGTGTGAATGGGGAGAGGGAGGGAGGGGGGTGAGGTTGCCAGCCAGCCGGGGACGCGAGGAGGAGAGCGAGGGAGGAGTGGGAATCGAAGGCGGCTGCGGAGTCGTCGGATCTTCCTTGACTAGCAGCTTCATCCACGTAACCCGGTGCAGAAAGATTCTAGGCCTATTGCCGTTTTGGTCCTCGGACTGGAAAGGGCGCCGTGCAGGTTGACGTCGATCCAATGCCAGCTCGATTTGCGCGGATACTCCGGACTACCCTCTGTGGAAGTCATCGGGTGGTAGCCTCGCCGCAACAATCAGGCGTGATGCAGGCTACAGCATGTGCCCCGAGATTGCGTCCAGAGATAATACACAAAGCTGCAGCTGAACTCGGAGCTCGCTGCCTGTCTGGAGGTTGCTACTATCGTTGCAGGGGATGCTCGAAACAGGTCTGGCAGGTAGCAGCGGCTGCGTGGACCAACATCAACAAGCGCGCTACAGGGAAAGAAAGAGGGGCTTCAAAGGACAGAGAGAGCAAAATGTCCCGCGCCCCGATATTTGTGCTGATGCCGACACTGATGCCGATGCTGATGCAGATGAATGCTTGCTGATGTTGCGCTGTTTCGTCTGTTTCGTTCGTCTGGCCGAGCCCCCACTAATGGGATGGGCCAGCTGGATGACGGGACTCCGCGAGATGCGCGCCCGAAATGGACATAGGCCCGTGTGTCGGCTGCGAAATTGGTCAGCGCGCGTCGGCGAAGCGATGCGAGGACGGGAGAGATAATCCCGGGCGCTTTCGAGGTCCAGCCTCTGATACGCGGATGTACATGCGTGCGAGCGTCTGGGTGCCTCTGTCCCTCGCTCTCTCTTTCTCCCACAAATGCGCGCACTGCACATGCTGCCTGCCCGTCTGCGAACCGTTCAACACCTGGGTATTTCGCCCGAGGGAAGAAGAAAAAGAACTACCGTGCCCCATCGAGGGGCGTCTGATAATGCGCGCCACGCCGTGTTGGGGCCCAGGTCTTGGATCCAGTCGGCCATGGTGTGTCACCTGCGATTCTGCATGAAGCTCCGCCGGCCAGGTTTAGCAGAGGCAACTGAGACAGACGAGAGCAGGCATGCGGCCTGCCCAACTAGGCACCTACCTAGTTCAGTTGTTGGTTTGCCTTCCCCGGGGCCGTTGGATTCGATATCATGATCCGTCGAGGCCGCCTGTTTCCCCGGCCTCGCCTGCTGCGGCCGGGCGGGATGCGCGCCTGCCAGGATTTTTGGGTTGTTCTATTTCTTTGTATTTGCGTTGCCACTAACCTTTCGTCCCTGTCGCACTAGGCCGATACGGATACGTGCTTGCTGTGTTGGATACCTCTTCACCCGTGAGAGAAGCTGGCCTTGAAAGGCGGAGGTCTCAAGATCGACACGGTTATTGGCATGCTGTGGGATCCCCAGGTCTGTCCTTGCACGTATCATGGATACCCATGCTGCGCATGTATCCACAGCCCGTTCTGTCCAAGGCGCGCCGAGGGGCTGCTAGCGAGCCTGCTGCACCCACACGGACACCCCGCAGCGCCCCAGGGCATCCAGCACAAGGGGCCCCCTGGATGGCGAGTGTGTGCATGGTGTGCACAAGCACGCGAGGATCAATCCAGGGGCGTCCCTTGGCCTGCGAGTTGCCTGGAAGGCTGCCGAGGTGTGCGTGTGCCGCGGGCTCCAACAAGGAGCAGCGCCGCCCAGGCTTGACTTCTTTCGGACTTGAGATCGATGTCGTCCAAGAAGACTTAGTGAGCGGGTGGACCAGAATATCTCGAGCTTTGTGTCCACTCACCGTGCATCCATACCCCGGGCGTGGCATGGACGGGCTGCGCCGTCTTCAATCGACGTAAAACCGTATCGACAACAGCCTGGCCGGACAGTCATGGATGGATGCAAGAGGCCCCATCCATGTTTCTCACTCGGATGCGACGTTTTGTGGGGCAGCCACCTCGTGAGCCAAAAATCCAATTTTCTGCAGCCCTCACAAGCACGACATTCCTTGATCCGCCGGTCGAGGAGGGGGGTGGGGGTTAATTGGGCAGAAAATAAGCGGCCGTGCTTGCTTGGTCTCCCCCGATCGAAACAGACCAAACCCCCGACGTCTGCTGGTGAAAACACCCGTGTATAGTTTTGTTTCATTGCCGGGGTTCTAATGCGTTCTTTTACGACAATACACGCTGGCTTCAACACAATTGCTCCATTGAGACGAAAAAGAGAAGTGGTCCAAGAAAAAGGGTTGGAATAAACCATCGTCTGTGGGCTCAAAATGTCAGACGTAGACGTGGGCCACTTTACCTGCTGGATTTCTCACTGGCGTTGACCCATTTCTTCCGCTGCGGCCCTGTCGAACAAGCCTCAGCTTCAATCTCGGGTCCCTGCTGTCTCAGAATGAGGGAGTCGATAATTCCACGAATACGAACCACAGCCACGGGTCTTCTATTTCCGCTACTTCTGCTCGCGCCGGAGAACAAAAATATCCAGATTTGGAACCCGCCAATTTTTAATCCGCGCTTTGCAATTATGCTTGTGTGTAAGGTGGCTTGGGTCTGTCCGCTAAACTCAGCACACATGCCATTGCTCGTATCGGCAAGGCTGAGACTGTATGTGCTCTCTTCCACGCCCAGCTGCTGGCCACCGAGCTAGCAAGCAACCAACCTGGACACCATCTGCATCTACTTATTGCGCCATTCCTCCCAGTGGCTGGCGATAACTCCACAGCTCCCAGTTCGTGGTGGGTGTCCGATGGGTGGATGCACAAAGAGGCGGTTACATCATCGCCCATCTAAAATCGCCAGCAGGCCTCCGTTGGCGGGCCTGTGCTTGTCGAAGAAGCAATCCCCACACTCACCAGTGGTTGTTGCAGGGGAGGCGGGAAGTCGGGAGCGAGATCTGCTCTTCGGCCGCTCATGGGAGGGCTGGCTGGGGCCCGCCCTCCTCTGTCCCTCCCTCTCCCTGTCTGGCGGTGCACCACACCCGGGGACATCACCATCCCTACGGTACACCCCACCGTTTCCCGCCCACCGGCCCTCTCACCTCACAACATAAAGCGCGCCGCCAGATGCGCCGCGCGGTGCCAGGGCCATTTGTGTCACTGTTCCATGAATCAGTACCTAGGTGAGACGCGAGATCCCGGGGCCGAGCTTGTTTTTCTTTCTATGCATACCCCGTCGACGTAGGCGTCTCTCGCCTAGCTTGAGATCCTCGCTACAGGAATTATTAACCGATGCTTCCTAATGCAACCTGTGTCCATACTGAGAATACCGGCATGGATATCCGGAGCAATTGTCGAACTTCAACTTGGGCCTGGACCTTCTTAGATTGAAGCGACAGGGGCTCGTGGTTTCCAGGGCGGTAGCTTGATTGTCGATCCATCAGGTCAGGTTTCCATTTTTATCACCATCATCCTTATTGCCTTCCGTATCCGTCCAAGCCCATCTCCAACACTCACACCCATCACGCCCGCAGCAGCTGGCCACCTGCCTCTGGTGCAGACTGACTGCACGTCGCAGCCCAAAGGAACTGTCAGTATGTAGGCTTAGTCTCATTGCTTCTGGACGTGGATGAGACTGCATATGGTGACGCAGGCTAAGATAGAAGAGAATGTGAGAGAAAAAGAAAAAAAGTCCGAACTCCGCACCAAATATCGCGCGTCGGCGGATAATCTCCGCCGCCATGACAAGATGACAGACACCCTCGATATCTCTGCCCGCACGACGCATCAGCATCAGGATCAGAAGGACCAGCTGCAGCGGTGACGGTAAGCCAAATCGAGCTCGTTTCCCCGGGGGCCCCATCCGAGAAATTCCCAACCTCGACTCGGTTCGAATAACGCTGCTGACCTGTCGAAGGACCAGCGACAGGGTGTGGCGTGACACTTGTCACATGAAAGATCACACGGCAAGCCCAGTGCCGTCTTCGTCAATAATCAAGACTAATCAGGGGTACCAGCTCGCTTCGGGAATATCGACCGTGCCAAGGGGTGACACTAACCAAGAACCCTGGCAGGAGGGCGGCCGAACCACATCCCGGTTGCGCACGGCTTTGCGCCTTAGCCAGTTGGTGTGGTGACACAAACGCTCTCTGTCAGGAATCGAATGCGAGCTCCATCTGCAAGGGCCTGCAGGCTTCTGTGACCCATAGTCCGCGCCATGCCGTAGCCACAATGCTCATTTCCATGGGACACCATCTCGAGGACGGTAGCAAATGTTTCCATGCACGAGAGTTAGATATTCCATCATGCCATGGAGCTAACGTGGTCTTGGGAGGCTACTGCTGCAGTGCCCGGGGTGCTCCCTGGTTCGGTCCACATCATGGTTGAACGGCTCTGGCTCCTCGAAACATTCGGGCGTGGTGCAGTCTGCTCAAGCCGGCAAGTATGAGGTACATGCTATGTATGTCGGAGCTTAGCAGCCGGAGACCTCAGCACGGATGTACATTACGCAGCACCAGCACCAGCACCACTACTGGCGCCCGTGCATACACGCTATCCGTGGGGCGCAGGAGACAGAGGTGCAGGGCATTAAGTGCTCGCCGCCCGCTGAATGGACTAGCTGCCTCTTCGAGGCACGGAGGGTCCCCGCCACAGCGGGCGCGCGCTGTTGGCGTGGGCATTGGCGTTGGCGTTGACGACGCAGATGAAGATGGGCGTTGTCGACCCGCCCGGGATCAAGGCGCAAATCATCACCCGGCGCCACCGGCCGTGATTGGTCTGGAGCGGGAGGGCCGCATCTGCGAAGATGAGAAAAATACGCCACGGCTGAAACAAACCCCCCCTGGGGGGCCCCTCGACTGTCGTGTTGGCAGGAGCATCGGCAGGTCGGCCCAGAGACAAGCCCAGGCTCGGGGTATTGGCGGTGGCTTTCCAGCCCCTGTCGACTGCAGCGGCCTTGGGCGAATCAGGGCCGATAAACGCGCCAGCAGGATGAAGTGGGGGAACGACGGGTCGAAGAAACAAATCCCGCCCGGGAATATTGGTTTATCTGACTCACAGCTATTGCCTGCCGGCCGTAGAATTTGCCTTGACCGGAGAGCAGAAGCATGCTGCATGTATTGTAAACGTACTCCGTGTTGGGGCAGGATGTGACGGGGCCAATCCTGCCGGGGTGGACGGCTTTCCTCGAGGGGTGGCCGGAGATAAGTTGGCGCGTTGGGGCAAGTCGCCTATCGAGCGACCCAGAGGCAGCTCCCAAGATTGATGCAAAGGCTCAGCTGAGCCGCTGCTTTCCCAGGCATGTCGTTCGTGTTTCGACTCGTCTTATTCGCGTCCCGTCTCAAGTTATTTTTATTTATTTTTTGCCGCGCACAAGGCCTTCCCTGCTCAGATCCTGTTCGCGAGGCCATACCTACGATGGAACAATTCCCTTAGCTGAGCGGCATATCGGCCGGTTGCCCGTGCTCGCTCGCACGCACAACTGGAAAGTTGTCGGAAATGATAAGCTTGTCCAGGAGTCTGGGGAAGGGCGGAAATGACGATGGTGTGAAGGCGCCCAAGCTCCCCATAAGTCTCGAAAAAGGGTGGGCTAAAGAGGAGGGGTGGGTGGAGAAGTGGACATGGTGAGCTCCATGCGCTAGCTGGGATTCTCTGCATGGGTCACAAAAAACCCGCGCCAAGGGCCGGACGGCAAGCTATTATTGGCCGGTGCGATGGCAGCTGACACACGGACCATGGTGGGGTTTGACGAGACGGAGAGAGGCCCAAAGGGTGCTGCGCTGCATGTCCCGCCCACGGCCTGCATTTCGTCTGAAGCTGGCTCCGAGTGCTGATGGTGTGACTTGGGGCTAGGCCGATCCCCATCGCTGCACATTATTTAGCACATGCATACGCATACGCATATCTGCCTTGGGATGTAAAGAGGGACAGACTGGCCTAGGTATCCACGTCATGTATAGTGTAAGAGATAGCTATCCCTGCCTACAGACACGCAGCTGACTGACCTTCCTCTCTCGTTTCGTCCATTGTTGCGACCTTCTTTACAAGCGAAGTGACGGAACAAATCCCCGGTCGGTTAAAACTGCAATCATTGTTGATCCTCCGTGTTTGCCGCAATGCATGGGCCAAGCCTTGACGGCTTGTCAGGGACCCTAAGCGACAGCCATCCAGTCACCCACCCGACACTTTGGCGCGCAACCCAACAACCTCGCACGCATCCCTCGGTGCTGACCGCAGGTAGGTGTGCCTGGCACGCCTGGGTACAGTACCTCCCTATGTTTCCCCATCACTCCAACTCCAGGATTTCCCAGTGTAGAGTTGGTAATTTCCGAATCACCTCACAGGCATGGCAGCCATCTCAGGAGGCGTGCAGCCCAACAATATCCTCCAGGCAAGCCAGGCTCCATTCACAGCGATGGACGGCCTGGGGCTGACCCCACTGACGGGTGCCGGTCCGCAACGGAAACCGTGGCACCCCTCCCCCCTGTGCGCAAGGTGGCCAGCCAGGCGCGCAAACAAAGACGGGCGGGCCATCGGCAGAGGCCACACACACTGCGCTAATGTCCGCTTCACCCACCCTTTCCCCCTCCCCCATCACAATCTTGCTGCAGCAGAGGGGAACACCACTCCCCAGTCCAGCTGTGGCTCCCGCCCGTCTTGTCTTTCTTTTGCAGCCAGCCACCAACAAATCTGCGGCTGGGCGGAGCGGGAGTGACGCACACCCTGGATAGCCGTCTTTACTTGGATAGGCCACCCTCTCGGCCCCTAGAAGAGTTCCAGTTGGTTTTGAGTTGACGAGTCCCATAACCGCTTAGCCGTCAAGGTATACTGTGTACCTGTGTGTTGCTGGGGCCTCCAGCATTTGCACAGGGGGGCGGTGCAGTTGGTTGCCGTCAAGCAGACTCATGTCTGTACTGACAGAGTGGGCCACAAGAGTCCGTTGTTTCCATGTGGGAGCGTGGAGAACGGAGGAGTGTGTTATTCTTTACCTAGGTAGTGAGATATGAAGCGACCGTCAGTTCGAAGGGTGTCTCGTGCGAATCTCAAAAACCATCCTCATCATTGGCCATCAATGACCCCTGCGTGTCTATCCAGCTCCAGGCGCGCAGGTGGCCAGCAGAACCACAAATGTTGTGCTTGCTTTTGTGCATCATGACGACAACGACAGATCCGCCCCTCATCTCGTCAGGCGACCGAACTCCACTGGTTCTCTAAGGTTTGGCGGGAAACGGCGGATATCCACTACTGCAGCGGGTCTTTGGCTGGAAAGTGGCTGCCCACGCACATCAGCAAAAAAAAAAAGACAGTTCCTCGGAGGAATAGGAACAGGAATAGATACGGAATTGAGAAGAAAAAAAAAAGAGAGAGATAAAAAAGCCGAATAAAAACGGGAATAATAATAAGGAAAGAAATAAGAATAGGACGGCTTACGGAACTAACAATTTCATTTAATCTTGTGTAAACTGCCGTTTTTTGTGTGGGGGACGTGCTGGCCAAGACAACACAGAGATACCACTTTTCCCATATGAAAGCCCGCGGCCTGTGTTCTGGAAACTGCACAGCTAGCATGGCTACAACGTTCAAAAACTGACAGGTGATAACCTCCGAGATATAGTTCTCAATACTGGACAATGAAAGTATATGGCGAGCCCAAAAGGGCACGATGGAACCGAACCTACAGGGCACAGGAAAGAATGGTCTGTGATGTGGGTCGTGATCGTGGTGCGTGTGCCAGTCTAGGAAGCGGTCCACAGAGACCAAAGACCCACGCCAGGGCAGCCACCCCTCCCTCCAAATGGTGCATGTACTATACTTTATATTCGACATGCTCCTACCCGGTGGTGTGTCGAGGTGAAGACCGGTTGAATGAATAGAAACCGGCGAAACATGTCGGCGGCACTCTAACCCCAGAACGGCAACTTATCTTATCTGACCGCGCAACCGATGCCCGCCATCCTCTTCTATTTTTAGTGTCGTGTAAAACGATCCAAGAAGGTGGTCCCTCGCGCTCGCGTGGGATGACGACGATAGTAGGGTGGGGCAATATGGGAAAAGGACTCGGCTGAATAGAGCTTGGGCGGGCCTGATCAGACGACTTAGGCCGCATCCGCTGGGTCAGCTTTGCTGTAAACATTGCGCAATCTAGTCACTTCTCTTACCCTGTTGCTATTTATCGAAAGTTCATGCCGATTTCGCTCGTCAGGGGTTGAGTGTTGGTGGTATGTTCGACATGCACCTGATGGTCTGAGATTTGGGCAATGAATGCGGCGAAAGAAAGGATTCTCGAGAGCAACAACAGCTACGGAGTAGTTTGTTTGAAATAGGCTGCGTATGTGTACCTGGGTAGGTGGCGGCTATCCATGGTACACAGGCGCCCGTGACGCGCGCTCGATAAGGCCTTGATAAGCTAAAATACCCACGCCCCACCCAAATTTTCCACCCACGCAGGAGCCTGCAGCAGTAACGCGTGCCTTTATACTTCGCTCGCCATTGATCAACTCAGCTTTATGATCGCGCACATCTAGACAACGTGTACCGATTGCGGCACCATTCACGGTAGCTTCTACATCGCAACGCATAAGCGACTAAACAGGCCCTGGGAGCGGGGACTCTCAAGAGAGCGATCACCTCTCGGGCGGCGAGAACTATGGCGAGCCTCAAGAGGTCAACGGGCTCGGACCCGCTGGCTTCGAGCATCTCCAACAAGGTCTACGTCCGGTCGACCAGGAGTGGCAAGGTCCAAAAAATTGTAAGAGAGGTCTATCTAAGGCAGGACATCCCTTGCTCGTCCAAGCTGTGCTTGTCATGCCTCCAGTCGGCACCCAGAGATGCCTCTGGGAATAGTATGTGTCTTTTCTTCTCTTTTTCTCTCCCACATCGGCCCTGCCACTCCGACTGTGCCGTTGGCTTACTAGATATCCAGTGAGCCCCTTTGTTCTCTCCGAGAAGCCGGCGGGAACGAAGGAGTTTCCACAGGGCCACTACCTCGTGCCCGACACCAATGCTTTCTTAACGGCCATGGATCTTTTTGAGCAAAGTGATTCCTTTTGCGACGTTGTGGTCCTGCAGATTGTTCTGGAGGAGGTGCGGAATCGCTCGCTGCCGCTCTACAACCGCCTGATCGCCCTGACCAAGAGCGACGAGAAGCGCTTCTACGTGTTCTTCAACGAGTTTCGCATCGAGACTCATGTCTCCCGCAACCCGGGCGAGTCGGTCAACGACCGCAACGACCGTGCGGTCCGACGTGCTGCTGCCTGGTACCGCGACCATCTTGCCGCCACAACGGTCAGGTCCAACAAGCTACCGCCCGCCGTCGTGCTCCTCAGCGACGACAGAGGCAACCTGAGGCAGGCGAGAGAGGAGGACATCCCGGCATACTCGCTGGCACAGTATGTCTCTGGCCTTAAAGATGGTGACAGGCTTATGGACTTGGTCCCAGAAGCACAGGATGAGGAAATTGTGCGACAGAAGTCGTCCGAGCATCTCTACCCGGAATACTATACAATGTCTAGGATGATGACGGGTGTAAAGAGCGGCTTGCTGCATCAGGGCATCTTCAACGTGTCGCCATACAACTACCTGGAAGGGACCATCCGCGTTCCCGCCTTCACCAGGCCGCTGTTGGTACTGGGACGCGAGAACATCAACCGGGCGGTGGACGGCGATGTGGTGGTGGTCGAAGTGCTGCCCAAGGATCAGTGGAAGGTGCCGTCGACCCGTATCATCGAGGAAGACGCCGTGACGAGGAACGAGAACGCTGGAGGCGACGAGGAGGAGGGTGGTGGGCAACGGGGCGATATGGTCTCGGAGAAGGAGCGGAAAGCGCTACAGGAGGAGGTGAAGCGGATGCAGGCAAAGGGCGCCGAGGCGCAGGCACAGCCCACGGCCAAGGTTGTCGGAGTCATCAAGCGCAACTGGCGTCAGTATGTCGGCCACATTGACCAGACCTCGGTCAGCCAGTCGGCAACGCAGGGCAGAAAGCAGGAGACCGTCTTCCTCATCCCGATGGATAAGAAGGTGCCCAAGATCCGGCTGCGGACCAGGCAGGTGGGCGAGCTTCTCGGCAAGAGGATCCTAGTCACCATTGACGCCTGGGATCGGGATTCGCGCCACCCCGTCGGCCACTTTGTGCGCTCGCTGGGCGAGCTCGAGACCAAGGCGGCCGAGACGGAAGCGCTCCTGCTCGAGTACGATGTGCAATACCGGCCCTTCCCCAAGACGGTCCTTGACTGTTTACCCAAGGAGGGCCACGACTGGCGGGTTCCCGCCAGCACCGAAGATCCCGGCTGGAGGGACCGGGAGGATCTCCGGCCGCTGCTCATCTGCAGCATCGACCCGATTGGCTGCCAGGACATCGACGACGCCCTCCACGCCAGGACGCTGCCCAACGGCAACTTCGAGGTCGGGGTGCACATTGCCGACGTGTCTCACTTTGTCAAGCCCAACAACGCCATGGACACCGAGGCTAGCATCCGCGGCACGACCGTGTATCTGGTCGACAAGCGCATCGACATGCTGCCGATGCTGCTCGGCACGGACCTCTGCTCGCTCAAGCCCTATGTCGAGCGGTACGCCTTCTCGGTGCTGTGGGAGATGACTGCCGAGGCCGAGGTGGTGGGCGTGCGCTTCACCAAGTCGGTCATCAAGTCGCGCGAGGCCTTCAGCTACGAACAGGCGCAGATCCGGATCGACGACGCGTCACAGACGGACGAGTTGACCGAGGGCATCCGCACGCTGTTGCGGCTGTCAAAGAAGCTGAAGCAGAAACGCATGGATGCCGGCGCACTCAGCCTCTCGTCGCCCGAGGTCAAGGTCCAGATGGAATCGGAGACGTCGGACCCCATAGACATCAAGACCAAGGTGCACCTGGACACCATGTCTCTCGTCGAGGAGTTCATGCTGCTCGCCAACATCAGCGTCGCGGGCAAGATATACGAGGCGTCGCCGCAAACGGCCATCCTGCGGCGGCACGGGGCGCCGCCGAAGACCAACTTTGACGAGCTGGCCAACCAACTGCGCGTCAAGAAGGGCTTTGAGCTGCGCGCGGACTCATCGCGCGCTCTGGCCGACAGCCTGGACGCGTGCGTCGAGCCAGCAGATCCCTTCTTCAACACGCTGGTCCGCATCATGGCGACGCGCTGCATGATGTCGGCCGAGTACTTTTGCTCGGGCACCCAGGCCTACCCCGAGTTCCGCCACTACGGCCTCGCGTCCGAGATCTATACGCACTTCACATCGCCCATCCGCCGCTACGCCGACCTGGTGGCGCACCGCCAGCTCGCCGCCGCCATCGGCTACGAGGCCGTCGCGCCCAGCGTCCGCAGCCGCGGCAGGCTCGAGGCCGTGTGTCGCAACATCAACGTGCGCCACCGCAACGCCCAGCTGGCGGGCCGCGCCAGCGTCGCCTACTACGTGGGCCAGGCCCTGCGCGGCAAGGTGGCCGAGGAGGACGGGTTCGTCATGAAGGTCTTCAGCAACGGCTTCGTCGTCTTCGTGCCCCGCTTCGGCATCGAGGGCCTGATCCGCCTCCGCGACCTGGCCGAGCCCGAGCCCGAGGCCGAGTACGACGCCGAGACGTACGCCCTGCGCACCTCGGGCTCCCGCGCCGTCGCCGTCGAGCTCTTCCAGAAGGTCAAGGTCCGGATCACGGACCAGAAGGAGGAGACGACCGGCAAGCGTGGTGTGAAGATGGAGTTGATATAGGGAGCCGAACGAGACGGAATGGAACTGCCGGCACCGGACAGATGGGGTCCCACTGTTTCAAGAACACACTCGCTGTTTCGCTTTGGAAGCGGCATTTTGTGCGATTTTGCTAGTGGCTCGGCGCGAATAATACCCCAGGATAAGAAAAAGAGCATGAGGAGACCAGGTGGAGGGATCAAGCAGTTTTTGCATCGAGATGTGCTATGTATTGAGATGCATGAAACAATAGAATCGGCCATGTCGCCCGCCCTCTCTCCTCCGTCCATCCTCCCATGAGGAATGCACACCTCGGCAGTGAGAAACGCCGCTCCTAATGCCTCGGGGCAGGGTTCAAAGATTAAAGTACCTGGTAAAGTAAGATAGAGAGTAGCCATGCATTGGTGGAAGCCCCAAGAACCGTCGTGATATTCGTAAGGAAAAAGAAAAGGGGGAGGAAAAGGGGGCGTCGAGGAAAAGAAGAGGAGGGAGAAAGTGGAGATGGAGGGGCACAGATACAAATGACCGAGACTACCTCACCTGCGAGGAAGCAGCCACGGCGTGGGCGGGGAATATAGGTGAAGCAAGGGGCCAAGGCTGGGAATATAAGAACCTCCCAAGGGCAGAACATACAAAGTGGAACCGAAAAAAAGCCCAAGCCTTCGAAGCCCCTAACTCGATGCCCATGCGATCTCGTTTTCTTTCTTTTATGACATGGGTATGCGTGTGCACTTACTACAAGGAGCGTCTCAACACCCTCCCGTGTTACATCTCTTCATGAGGATTCTGGCCGAACAGAGAGACATGATAGACAGCAGGGAGGGCACATCTAGCGGTTAGGGGTGAGAGAAACAAAACTGGGAGAAGGCTGTAGACAGAGCAGTAGCGGTAGGCGGAGCTACCATGCAAGGGGGTATAGGAGCAGGTAGAGTCGGCGTGGAAGGGGGCAGATGAATGTAACACGCAGTAGTGCCAGGAGGTATCAAGTAAAAGCAAACGGCGAAAACCGGTCAAAGTAGAGTTGTAAAAGACCCGCAAAAAAAAACCCCCACGCGTCGATTACGTGAAGCCCTCTAGTAGAAGCTGCCATCGCCCATCATGCTACCACGACTTGATGTCGAGGTCGGGTTCGGCGTGTTCTGAGCCGAGGACGAGCTACCGTCGCTCGGGGTGGGCGGCTCGACGACGCGGTTGCGGATGGTCATGATCCAGTCGTGGTGCAGCAGGTCAAGCGCGGTGGCGCGTTTCTTAGAGTCGCGGACGAAGCAGCGCTTGAGGAAGTCGATACCCTGGGGGCTGAGCTGGTCCGGGGTCGGCAGCTGGGGCGGGTTGCCCTGGGCGATGTTGTACATGATAGCCCACTCGTTGTCCAGGTTGGCCCAGGGGCGGCGGCCCGTGGCCATCTCGAGGATGACGCAGCCGAGCGACCACACGTCGATGGCGCCAAAGTGGCCCAGGTTCTCGCCCTTGATCACCTCGGGCGACATGTACATGGGCGTGCCCGTCATGGACTTGTTGGGCTTGGAGGCGGCCAGATCCTGGCCGGCCAGAGTGCGGCCCTGACGCGCAATCACCTTGGCGGCGCCGAAGTCGACATACTTGATGATGCCGTTGTGGTCTAGCAGGATGTTTTCGGGCTTTATGTCGCGGTGCGCAACCTTAATCTCGTGCAGGTAGGCTAAGCCCTCAAGCAGCTGCAGCGCGTACACCATGATGACCTGCTCGTCTTCGATGCGTCCGTGCTCTAGCAGGTTGGCCAGCGAGCCGCCCGAGCAGAACTCCATGAAGATGTAGACGCGGTCGCGGTGCACCTCGATACCGTAGTACGAGACCACGTTGGGATGGTCGACCGACTCGAGCACCCGCATCTCGTCCTTGATCTGGGTCGCGATGGTCGGGATCAGCTTCGGGTCCTGCAGCCGGATCTCCTTGACTGCCATGAGATGGCCCGTATCCAGGTTCATGGCGGCATAGACGTTTCCAAAGGTGCCGCCGCCCACGAAATGGCCTTGCTGCCAGCGCATCGTGAAGTTGGTCGCCGTGGACGACAACAGGGCCAGCGACCGGTCCACCTCGTTGGACGCCTCGAGCACACGACCCAGCGCCGATCGCTCGAGGGCAATCTCCTTTCGGCCCTCGTCGATAGCATCAAGGGCGTGCAGACGGTGGGTTGTCACGAAGCGTGACGCCTCATCGTCGTCGAGCGTGTTGTGATCCAGCCGCCGCATCTGGCCGACCATGGCCTCAAGCCGCAGCTTCTCGGCCTGCGCCGCCACCGTTGACCGGGCGCCCATGATGTCGAAGTGGGATATCAGCAGCCGCATGCAACCGCCCACGTTGCATCGCAGCCGGTCGTACTCGGCCTCGCACAGCTCCAGGATGTGGCGACCACGCGTCATGACCATGGCAAACTCAAGGGCCAGCACGGCCCAGCGAAAGGCTTTGCGGTCCGACGACTGACAGTCTTCGCAGATGAAGCTGACCCAGTCCAATGCCAGTTTGGCAAGTTTGAGATTGTTCATCTGGCGGCGATTGCTGTCGAGATATAGTAGCGAGCGCTGGCCGAACTCGGTGGCGAAAACAAAACACGTCTGGATCAGCTCCTGATAGTCAAGCCCTTTTGTGTTTTGGCGGATGATCTCCACGCTGTCCATGAATCTGTACGGAAGCGAACCAGCGGACATGTTAGTAAGGCATGTAAAGAGAGATGGGTGAACAAATGACCATTGGGAAAGGAGACATTGGGAAGTGAGAGGAGTGCTCACGTGTTGCTCAGCTTGTGCTGCACCTTGCGAATCTCCATCAACCGAGCGTTAACCTTTGGAAGGTTGGACCGCTGCTCAATGAGTAGATCCAAGTGCATGTCGAGGATGTCGAGGAAAGTGCGCTTGGCGTTAACTAGGCGAATCTGCGAGCCGCCAGCGATGAGGCGCAAGTGGCCAGTCTTAAGCTCGACGGGCTCCTCACGCACAGATAGCTGAATCTTGGGCCCCCACCAGGCAGGGTCGCCCTCGGGCCGCATGACGAGAATGTAGGGGTTTGTCGGGTCGTCGACCAGCTGCTCGTAGGCTGTGGTGGCAATTAGCGACTGTATCTCTCCCTCACGGTCCGCCAGGGAGGGCGACGCGATGACAAGCAGGCCCTCGTGCTCTAGGCTGCCCGTGTAGACCTGGAAGTGGCCCGTCTCTTGCAGGCGCGCAAAGAACTCCTGCATCTTGTCGGGCCGGAACGAGATGCTGAAGTCGGATGCATTCTCATAGTTATCGTTGAGCATTCGCGAGAAGCGCTGCAACATGCGCTGACGCACTCGCACCGACTCGAGAACTTGCTTGTAGCGCTTGCTCATGTCGGGGACGGACTCCTTGGGCTTGCGTTGCAGCTCCTTCTCGAATGTGATGCTCAGCCTATTAAGTGTCTTGAAGGTCAGGGAGCTGAACTGCTCAGCCACCTCGATGTCGCCGCGGTACAGCTGCCGGGCGATATCGTTGGCAAAGTCCCACTCCTGGAACAGCAGCTCGGCCTCCTTGAAGGTGTTCTTGTTGCCGCCCAGCTTCCAGTTGAGCATTTTGAAGTAATACCTGAGCGCATCGAGCACGACCTGGTCGAACGTCTCGTCGATGCACGGCGGCAGCTCCCAGCCGGGCTGCGGCTGCGACACGGCGGTCGATTCGTGCTTGGTGCGGATCGCCAGCTTGAGCAGGATGCGGAACTGCGAGATCATCTGGTCTTGCATCATAGGGCTCTGCTGCGCCGACTCCTTCATGCGTTTTGTGTAGGCTAGCCGCACCTTGATGATCTCCTCGATCAGGCGCGATGGGAAGCTGATGAGTGTGAGTAGCTCATCCAGGTCAAGCGGAAGATGGCGCTTCTTAAAAACCTCGTGGTTGAACAGCAATGTCTCGCGTGCCTTCTCGATAGTCGTCATTATGCCTACAAGCATACCACGCCGCTTACTCTTGCCGTCCTCTTCGACATGGTCGTGCAGCGACCGGAGTCCCTCCTCTTTCATCAGCCGGTCCATAAAGGACGAGTCGTCGGCGAGCCCGCCATGCAGGGTGCTTGGTGACTTATCCCTCGTACGCGAGAAGTCGAGCTCGTCGTTGCCTACCCACTGCTTGAGCACTGTGAGCTCCGTTTGGATGAGCTGGCTGACGTTGTGCCACGCCACGACCGCGTCGCACGCCTCCTGGAAGAGAACCGTGTTGGCCGACTTGTGAGCGGCCAGCAGCGCCGAGCGCGAGGGGTAGTGGCTCTCGATGCGCTCGATCTTGCGCATCACGTCGAGAACCTGCTGCACCGTCGACTTGCCGGCCTCGCTCTCGCCCGCGATTTGGAAGTCGATAACTTCGTCGATCAGCCGGTCTAGCGTGCCGCGCGCATCTTCCACCATGCGCCGCTGCACCGTCAGGTGGCGCCCGCACACACGCGCGCGTATGCCCATCCAAAGCTCAGCTCCGCGCGCCGACTTGCCCAGTTCCTGGCCTGTAGCTCCGATGAGCCGTTTCTTCTCCTGGCGCACCACGTCGCCTGTCAGGACAGCCTCGAGCATGCCGTGCCACTCGAGCCGCTCACGATTTGTCGGCTTGCGTAGATCTTCCTCTGTAGGTTGCGTATCGTCGGTTCCGTCGAAAATAATGACGTTCTGATCGTACGTATCGTCAAAGGGCACCTCAGACGACGGTGTCTCCCCCTCAGAGTCTGAGTCTGGGTACCCATCAGTGCCACCGACGGGAAATCCCGAGTAAGGGACGAAATAGTCGGCATTGCCCCCGCTATAGTCCTGCGCGCGCAGCCGCCGCACATACTCCTTCTCCTGCTGACCGTATGCGCCACGATGCTTGGAGGCGGAACGCAGATCAGATGTAGACGTGTGTATGTAGGACGGGGTCTGCTGTGTTGGTTTGCGCGCGGGCTGGTAAGTATTTGAGGGTGTCCTGGCCGGTCCGGTCGGCCTTTGTGGTGGTCTCGGGGTGGCTGAGCCATTGGAGTATGCGGTGCCTGTTGCGGGTGTTGCCACTCCTGCAACCACCGCGGCGGCGGCGTCACCATTAGAACCGTGTTGTCGACTGCCACTGGAACCATTGATGCCTAGAGAGGCCATGGAGCCCGAGTGACTGGCGGCCTCGGCATATATGCCCAGCGAACCCAACTCGTCTGGAGTCTCGGATGCATGCATCGGCTCGATGGCTAGTTCGTTTGACGAGTTCGAGTTGTCCGAGTCGCTCGGGATGGGCACTGGCCTGAGGGGCCGCTCGTCCTCGCCCTGGGAAAAGCGCACGGCGCGGGGGGATGTTTCGGCCGACATGGTGTTTGGCATGGGGGCGGTGGGCGACCCAGGGGCCGGGCGGGAGGAGGGACGGGCGGTCAAAGGCGCCGGGCGGGTGACCGCTGCGAGGCGGATACGCAGGGAAATGGTCGCCAAAGGGCCCCGCGGCTTGTCAGATGCAGCAAACAGCTGTGTGCTGGAACATCGAGGGCAGGCGTGGTCTCGTCGGGGCTTCGAGGGAGATGCCAGTCTCGGAATTTTGGGGCGGCGTCGACGGCGATCTGCTGACAGCGAAATATGCCGGGAAGAATTGAGGTCTCTACACCAAGATAGACAAAAGGAGGGCGAAGAAAAAAGCAGCGGAGGCACGATGTCTGGGGAGATAGTCAAGGATGGAGGATGGAGCTCGGACGGCACGGGATGGAGCCTCCACTCAGTGGCAACGCAACAGCTGCACGCAAATCGGCTCCAGCTGGTGGGCTCTAGCTGTCGATCCTTTCGTCGTTGGAGCTGGGCGTGGGCCCAGCCACTGAGCGTTGTCGCAGCGGGTCCTTCCTTCCTCCACCATCGAAACCTCACTAGTGCATGGGTCACCATTTTACAGGCAAATATTGTGCATATCGTGAGGACCGCGACAAGTGTTCACTACTTCGGCACCTTAGGTAGCCCAATTGAAGGCCGGGATGCAGAACATGCCTGCGTGCATTTGGGCCTGTCGTGCTGCATCCACACCCATGGTTCTCGCGCTTTTGGTGTCAACACTCGACACTTGTGGGACCTTTCTGCGTAGTGGTAGATACACAGATATAATAGATACCCGTCCTGAGGGAGACTGCGCTTGATGAGACAGAAACCCCTTTGTGTCGTCCACCGGGTCGTAATCGGTATCAATCCTTTCCCATCCTCCTTTTATTTCAGGGCAAAAGAAGGAAGAGTGATATTTTGGTGGCTATTGAATGATGTGCAGGGCTTGTGTGTTCTCAATCGATCGATCCCTTGCTGAGGGGAGACAAGCCCACTTTCCGCGGGTTTCATTGTGGCTGAGGATCGCAGTCGATATGTGCAATCGAGAAAACCCATCGGCGCCCAGGTTGCAACATGTCATCTCCATCGGGGTCAAAACCTGCCACGTGCACTTCCTCTTGAGCCACACCTCTCAGAGTGCGCTTCCTTCCCCATTGGTGCATCAGAGTTCAAGCTGTCTGGCAATGAGGCAACGTCTGGTGGTGGGGGCGCCACGCCTCGAAAGTGGAACTCTAGGGGTTGTCGCGTGTGAGGGGATCTCGACGCGTGACGCCACTCCAAAAATCATCCTTCGGCGTCAGACGCCAATTTGTCCCGCCCCATTGCCCAGCCAAAAACGATACCTATTCATCCCTGCCTTGTCCTGGGTGACCTCGCCGGTATCCACACGCCCGGACTGTCAATGGAAACACCGACGATTGTTTTGAACGATGCATTGAAGCCCGGCGACTCTAGATTCGCCTTCTCATGGGCCCGTCTTTTGGTCCATCTGTAATATGCCGCCCTCCTCCGACGCGTCACGCCCACTGCCCCAGCCGAGGTCGGGCATCTTGACGCCCGCCTCGGACGGCTCCGTCAACCGGCTGTCCCCCCGAGGCCTCGGGGCCCGACGGAAGGTTTCGGCCGATAGTAGCGCCGTGGTCACAGATCCAACCAAGCGGCCGGCCCGAACACGTCCTGCGCTGTCCATGGAGGAGCTTCTTAAAGCATCTATTGTCGTCAAGGTGCCTTATCCATGTACTTCTTGGGTTGAGGCTCTGACAGCACCGGGTCTGTCTAACACTCTTGTCTCCTCCAGCCGCATCCGCCCAATGTATTCGCAAAGCCTGTCACTCTACAGCCACTCATGCTGCTCCCCCGGGAGTGCTTGCCACTGGCGCATATCGACCTGGCCGACCCCCATGGCGAACTCCCATCCGCCCGATTCTTCGAGTCCTGCATTCGGATCATGGAACTCGAAGGCCGTCTTGGGTCTAACACGCTCATCGCCCGCTCCGAGTCCAGCCGCATCGCCTACGCCATTGAACGCCACGGCAATGGCTACTATGTGCTATGCAAACTGGGGTCATGGGTAGACATGACTGAGCTTGTAGAGGATTCGACCGTCGCGTGTAGCGAACGCATAACACTCGCTAAAGCTCCGCCGGCCACCTCTGCATGCTTCGAACCGCCTTTGATCACTCCGCATATATACTCCGAGTCTAAGCGCAAACGGCAAGCAATCGAGGACCTCCAGTCGCTCTGCAAGAAACGGCAAAGGTCGCAGTCGGTTACTAGCCTAGCGCCACAGCACCCGTCGCAGCAGTCGCAGATCCCGCAATGTCACCTGCCTACGCCAGTCGATGAGGTTTCCCAGGTTGACCAACCGGTTGCCGGTTCTCCAACGGAACCACATCCTCAGACTTTCCCGTTCCAGGACGAGGTGCAGCTGCCGACGTCTCTACAACCGCCGTCCAGCACTATCCTGGATACACAACAGACCGCAGGAGACATTTTCAATCATATACGAACACAGTATCTCGAGACTTTGTATCACTCCATGGGATCCCTGGCGTACTTTGCCAAGGGTCCTCTGTCGCGCGCGCGCGCTGCCTTCAACCTCAATTGTGACGGGAATCTCGATATGAGTGACCTCGTCGGGTTTCTGAAGAGCCTCGTCTTGACGACGATACTGATCGACAAGAAATACCTGACCACGGTCCCCGGTGTGGTTGAGCAGATGAAGCTGTTGGTGGAGAGCTCAGACGAGGGGAGGGCCACTCGTCCCAAAAAGAGGCTGCCAAAGAAAACCAGGATAGGAAAAGACGGCCTCTATCCGAACGAAGGGGACGACGTGAGGAGGTGGTGGACTAGGACAAGGCCCGAACTGAGAGACGAAGAGACATCAGTCAACCCTCAGCAGGTGCGATATCACATTTCGTGCCTGCGGAGGAGAGAGACGCTCTTGCAGCTCATCTTGATCCTCGAAATACTCTCACTGGAGGGATCTCAGCAGATTGGGGACCCTGTCGACATCCAGTTGCCAGGTCTCGAGACACCATCATCCCAAGGCCCCGCCAAGTCGACAGATGCGAATAAGAAGAAGCGCAACAAGCACAATCTCCCGGTACTCTTGGATGTGCACGCCGATAGGCTCTGCATTTGGGAATCGACAACGCTTGATGAAGTCAAAGCGCTGGCCGAGTCTCAATCAAGAACCGGCGAAGTGAGGAAGTCGGAAAAACCACTCGTTGACTTTTGTGTTGACGTGATCCTCCCATTGTCAGTGCTCATCGCTATGCCTGACGCATTTCATACAGCCCCAAACGTCATGGCCTACTAACCAACCATGTCATCCTTAGTTTCTCGTCTCGTCTTCCCGAGCCATGCGACTTGCTTAACCGAAAATTAGGCGGCCCTGTACTCAAGTCGCCCCCAAAGCAGCGGCGAGAGAAGGCGACCGAGAGCTCTTCCAAGTCACGGTCCAAGCCCGGCGCGCCCTCAAAGCGGCCTGTGGCCAAATCTGTCTCGTCGAGCAAATCAGCAAGAAGCCTCGAACGCGTGCTCTCTAATGACAAGCTCAGAAGAAGCGTCTCACGAGGCCCGTCGGATGCGCTGGCTCATCTGAGACACGCAACCGTTTCTCACATCCCAGGCCTGAAGCGGGAGGCTAGCGAGACGAGGAGTTTGAAGGACGCGCCCTCTGTTGAGACGAACTCCCTGAAGGATCATCCGACCAATCCGCTGCTCTCTAGAAGCGCAAGCCTCACTGCCGTTGAAGATGCCAGGTCGAAGAAGAAGGTACTGGTTGAGGCCGAGCTTCAGGATGCCATTTCTGCGCTCAAGAAGCCCAACCGGGTGCTTGCGGGCAAGGTCTTGGCTGAAGAGTCGGAAATGCGACTTTTCGCAGGGCCAACCTACGTCACAAGTCAGTATTGAATTGATCTGGGAATGGATATCTTCTCGACGCGTGTGGAAGTGCTGGACTAACAGGTGATGTGTTGCACCATAGAACGCAAGAAACCAGTGCCCAGTCCTGTCGGCAACAAGGTGCAAGTCAAGGCAACACCAGCGAACGTCAGGTTCAAGAACGCTCTTGCGGACGACCCGCACCATGGACGCGGCTTCAACCTGTCGCGTGCGCACCAGGCACTAAAACCGGCTCCCATGGCCAGTCGCTCTGCCGAGGTAGACTTGGCTGGCGTCGCACGTGACCCTTGTGTTGCCAATACTCCACTGGCGAACAGGACGTGGCAGATGTCCGACACCAGTCGGAGGGATGGGGCCATCATGGATTCTCACGAACGGGGTGATGACTGTGTTCTCACATCATCGCCAATTAAGGCAAGGAAACGGGCTGCGCGACCGCAGCCACCACAATGGCCAAAGCCTACGCCCAGTCGTGGCTTACTATTTCCGCCTGGCCAATCCGACATGATTCCTGCCTCTTCCCCACAGCGACCCCTAGAAGAGGATGAGGACCCATTATCCACCAAGGTCAGAAGCAACGGGAAGGTAACGCCGAGGGCGCATTTCCTAGCCGAGACACCAGTGAAGCCACGTCCACGGCCGGTTGCAGCTCCCACCGCCGCCGTGTCCAGTCTTACCGTGGAGACGCCCCGGGCAAAAAAGACCATGGCAGCGGCGCCAACATCCATCTCCGTGGCTGTGTCCCCGCCAAAGGCAGCGCAGGCGACGACGATCTACCAGCAGCTGGGCTGGGATGACGACTATCCTGACGAGCTCTCATGACCATGACTACAACAACGTGAATGATTCTAACGGACAGCAGAGAGATTCTAAAACTGCTAGTACAAATGTGGCTGCTTGTTCAGGCGCTTTGAATATAGACGAATGGGTGGGTTCAGAGACTATGGACAGGATATCATTGGATCGCTGGCTTGCATAACAGATGGCGTTTGGCTACTTTCAGGCAATGATTCCTTTGCCGGCTCGTTGCTCCCTTTTTTTTTTTGCTCTCTTTTTGCATCATGTTGCCGAGCGAGGAGGCGGGCGGCAAGGCAATGGCGTTGGGGCGTGGTAGGAGGGGCTCTCGGATATGCATTCGAATATCATGCAGCGTATCTTAGACAACACTTCGCGAGACCATCTCGTAAAATCACGGTTGCTCAACGCCCAAAGAAAACAATGTCTTCCAGGATCTAGAATATCTGGGCGTAATCTCGCGTGCAGTCCCACTAGAGGCCATGCAAGATGCACAGTAGGGAATAGACCAAGTTGCGTTTACACCTGCCGCTACAAGGAGCGGTAAACATTGACAGACGCTAACTCTACATACGCGTCCTGCTCCTGCTAGGGATTCTCGACATGGAGCACTCGCTTGCCAGGCCGGAGAGCTCATGATGTCTCGTCCGCCTCGGGCTCAACAAATATGGCAGGCAGCTCCCTGACGTCGACGTGCTCCTGCGAGACCAGGTCGACGACGCGGACGGCCTCGACCGACTCGACGGCGTCGCCGGGGCCGCGGCCGGCGCGCAGGGCGAGGAAGCGGAGCTCGACGACGTGGCAGGCGCCCGGGGCGAGGGGCCCGACGCGGGCATCGGCGCTCAGGCAGACCACGTCGGCGCCGTCGAGGAGCGAGCCGCGCTGCATGGCGTGCACCACGTTCTCGTCCAGGACCGCGTCTGCGACCTCGTCGCTGTCGATGCCGTTGCCGCGGGCCTGTTGCTGACGCTGGTACATGAGGCTCTGCTGGCGGCCGTGGCTGGCGCGGTGCGAGGACGGCGGGCGGGTCACGCGGAGGTCGGCTCGGCGGCGCTTGGGTACCACCCGGAGGGCGAGCTTGCGCGCCGAGCCGCCCACTGCGGGAGTAGTAGGTGTCGCGGTCGGTAAGGGCGAGGGTTGGTGGTGCTGAGGCGCCCCTGTAGAGATGGCCAGGCCCGACACAACGGGGGCGGTGCCGGTGCCGGAGCGGTTGACGACAAAAACGGACCAGCAGAACTCTTCGCCGACGCGCACAGGGCGATCTGGCCCTAGGAAGGTCATCGTGATTCCAAAGTCTGGGATGATGGTCTCCGTGTTACGGGCCGCGGCGGCCTCGAGCGCGGGAAGCGAGTCTGGGCGCGAAACGGCTGGGCTCACCATGGACGCGATTCCGTCGATGGATAACTGCGAGGGGCGGTGCGAGCGCTGCATCGGGGGCGTGAGGGCTGAGGCCCCGAACCCGGGGTTAACGGGCGGGGTGAAGTCCAGCTGCGTGGTCCAGGCCATGGTCATGCGTGGTGTGCACACTCCCGGGCGAACAAGGGCCTTGACTTCGATGGATATGTCGAGATCACGCGCGGCAGGGGGTGCGCCTGGGGCGTTCCTGGAGTTCCCTGACCAGCCGCCGCTCACCCCTTCGAGAAGGTGCTCGTGCTCTGGGGGCGCGAGACCGTAGAGAAACGTGACATGGTCGTGGGCGACGCAGCTCAGGGGCAGTGACAAGCCGGCATCTGAGTTGAGATCTGTGACGACGCCCGACTGCAGACCCAGCTTGATTTTGGTAAGGACAACCTCGCAGTCGAAATAGGGAGTGAAATCCATCTCGAGCATGGCGATAACGTCTGGCGAGGCCGGGACTGCGTTGGGGCGAGCAAACTTGACACGGGTATGTAGCGCGGCCACGGCGCGGAGGGCTATGTTCTGGGAGCCCCTGATGGGCCGCAGCTGGTCTTTGGGTCGTGTCAGAGGGGCCACACGCGAGACACGCTGGGCCGACAGCTGCGGCCGGACGCCGCCTAGCGCCGCATCGTAGGCGAAAGGCTCAAGCAGGTTCAGGCCAGCAGGAGCGCGGCTTTGCATGTAGTCGTCCTTTGTGGAGACGACGCCGCCGCCGCCCACACTTTCCGGGCCCCTCTCAGTCTCATCATTCGCCGGGCTGGCGCTGCGGAGATGAGCCGAGACTGTGAAAACGACGGTTGGTGACTGTAGTCGGATACGAGGGCGTGCTATGAATACTGGGACCTTCCATATTGCGAAAGCGAACTGGTGCGGCGTAGAATCTTCTCTCTCGTCTTCTTTGTCGTCGTTGTCGTCGCCATCAAAATCGCGCTCGTCGATGATTACGAGTGGCTGATCCACCCCCGCCTTATCACCAGCAGAACCTACACCTTCTCCTCCATGTCCTCCCTGTCCCTGAGTTCTTCCTTGGCGCGATTCGATGGCGTCATCGCCGAATATGAGCTCAGTGGCGGGCGGGCTGCGGTCTCGGCCCGGGGTTTGGGTGTTGGTGATGTGCGCTTCAAGCGAGAGAGTGACACGGGCGAGGTGTGCGCGCAGCGTCTTGTCGTCGTGGAAAGGTGTGCGCAAGATCAAGAAGACGACGGCGGATTCATCTGAGGAGTTGCCATTTCTATCGATGAGCGGGGCTGTGAGACCAGAACAGGCAGGCTGGAGGCGCGCTCAGAGGTCGAGGGGGCAGGGTAGGTGAAGGCGCGGGGCATACCGAAAAAGAGCCAGTCCCGCTGTTCCAGGGCCTTGAAGGGCGATCTTTTGGAACCGCCGCAGCCCGGCTTGACCAGGTCCTCGAAGACCGGCTCGTCGGAAAAGGGGACGAGGTGGGACAGGTGCGAGTGCTCGAGGAAGTCCACGTCGTCGGCCGACAGGTCCGCATCTGCGCGCGCGGTCATCGTCACACGTCGCGAGGGAGGGCAAGAACAAAGCAATAAAAGTAAAGAAGGCGGCAAACACGAGACCCGTCAAATTGTACAGGTACCTCCCCTCTGGCTGGCGTGAAGGGTGACTGGATGCGGCGCTTGGGGCTTTACAAGGGACATTATCTCGTCCGAACACCCGCAGTCATGCGCAGTCTGCAATCCCCTCCCGCAATCACCCCTGTCACTAGTCGTATCGAATGCGCTGGGTATTCCAAATGCAGCCGCGGGCCTGGCCAGAGGCATCGAGATCTAAGATGCAGAAGAGCGTTTGGGCGGGAGGGAGCTTGGTTAGAGAACGTCTGATGGGATGCGCGGCTCTGCCAGCTTGACGCTAAGGGTGGGTCAATGAGCCCACCACCAGAGCAACAGATCACTTGAATTTGAAGACTTTGTTGGTCCGTGCTGCCATCCCCCTGTGTATACCATACCCATGTCCTTTTTTCTTTTTTTTTTCCCTTCGCGGGTTCTTCCACCCCAGCCACCAGACCCCCAGTGGTTAGGCGCAATCAGCGGAACGCATCTCTTCAGAATACGGAATCTCAGCTACCGCGCGTCTTTTCTATCGTTTCCCGCATTGCCGCACCCCTCGCTTGTCTCGCCGACCTTTCGCGCATCGCGCTGAGCGTTCCCAACACAGCCGACAGCCCTCTTCCTCCCTCGCGCATTCGTTGCGACCGCGCCAACAATGAGTGGCTTGCCACCGGGCGGGTTACCCCCGCCCAACGACAGCCTCTGGCAAGAGCACCGCACGCCCGACGGACGCCTCTATTACTACAATGCTGCGACCAAGGAAACGCAATGGACCAAGCCCGTGGAGATGATGTCGCCAGCAGAGGTTTGTCTGCTCTCACACAAGTCCCGGCGAGGCTGCGCTCTGCGAATATGACGCTAACATAACTTGGCTTGTGAATTGACAGCGCGCTCTTGCCGATCAACCGTGGAAGGAATACACTGCCGAGGGTGGCAAAAAGTATTGGTATAATGCAGAAACGCAAAAGAGCTCGTGGGAGATGCCTGATGTTTACAAGGCAGCTATGGGTGTTCCCTCCACTCCGGTGTACGTTCAAGCTCTCTACGAAAACCAGATGACCGATTTTGATACGGAACTGTGGCTAACTTGCTACATGGATCCCGCGTTTAGGACACCCTCCTTCGGCAACAGCGGTGGATACGGCGGAGACAGGGATCGGGACCGAGACCGAGATCGAGATCGAGACCGCGACCGCGACCGAGATAGGGGCGACCGAGACCACGGCTCAGGCTACGGGCATGGCCGTAGTCATCGGCACGGCGGACATGGCGTCGGTTATGATCATCACCATCACGACCGCAGGGAGTCGCTCCCTGAGTCGCGTCAGCTAACCTTCGGCAACGAGAGTCAATTCCAGGCCTTCATCCCCGCCAGCAACGACCCCGTCTTCGACACACCTGAGGAAGCTGAGGCAGCATTCGCCAAACTCCTCCGTCAGAGTGGTGTAGAGCCTGACTGGACATGGGAGCAAACACTCCGCGCAATCGTCAAGGACCCTGCCTACCGCGCCATCAAGGATCCCAAGGACAGAAAGGCCACTTTCGAAAAGTACTGCCATGATGTAGTGGTACAGGACAAGGAACGCCAAAAGGAGAGACTTACCAAATTGCGCACCGACTTCGTCTCGATGCTGAAGAGCCATCCCGAGATAAAGTACTACACGCGCTGGGAAATAGCACGGTCTATCATCGAAGGGGAGACGGTCTTCCGAGCGGCCAGCGATGATAATGAGCGCCGCCAGCTCTTCGAGGGCTACGTGCGAGATCTCAAGCTTGCTCACTCTGAGGAACAGGCAGCATTGCGCAAGAGCGCCATCGACGGCCTTGTTGACCTGCTCCCCAAGCTCAACCTTGACCCCTACACACGCTGGTCCGAGGCGCAAGGTATCATCGCGGCTACCCCACCCTTCAAGGCTGAGGAAAAGTACAAGTGTCTCAGCAAGTTCGACGTCTTGAATGTATTCCAAAACCACATCAAGTCCCTTGAGCGCAGCCTCAACGACTCGCGACAGCTACAGAAAACCCAAAAGTACCGACAAGAGCGCAAGAACCGAGACGCATTCGGCGCTCTTCTTAGTGAGCTTCGGCAGTCTGGCAAGATCAAAGCCACCTCCAAATGGGGTCAAATATTCCCTCTTGTCGAGAACGACGAGAGGTACACAGCCATGCTCGGACAGCCCGGTTCGACACCACAGGACCTCTTTTACGATCTGGTTGAGGAAGAAGAGCGAGCTCTGCGCAACACTAGAAATGATGTTGACGACGTTATCGATGTAAGGCCATCCGCGCGGATCCCACCATGTCCCTACATATACATCAACCGAATCCCCGCTGACATCCACTCTAGGACAAGAGATTCGAAGTTACCCCTCAAACTACTCTGGATAGCTTCGCGGCAGTTCTCAGGAGTGACGATCGTACTGCTAACCTAGATCAAGAAATCATGGGCCTGATATTCGAAAGGGTGAGTTCACTTTTCATGTCTTTGTCGTCTCGTGCATTTGATCGACCCCATACGTGAGGGGAGGCCCCATGTTTGCGACAACCTGGCTAAGACACAATCTGTACGGTAACAGCTCCAAGAAAAGAGGAAGGACAAGCGGACCGATGAGGAGCGTCAGCAGGAGCGCCAGCAGCGTCGGGCACTCGACGATTTACGTTCCTATATAAAGCGCATGGACCCCCCGATCGCCGCCAGCGACTCGTACGAGAAGATTCTTCCTCGACTACAAAAGAGCGAGGAGTTCCAGGCCGTTTCGTCCGAGGATGCTAGGCGGGGCGCATTTGAGAAGTATGTGCAGAGACTGAAGGAGAGAGAAGAAGAAGCGGAACGCGACCGCCAGAGGCGTCGCGACAGAGATGACCGCGGAAGCTTTCGCGACAAGGACCGAGGTGAGCGGTCGCATCGCCACGGTGGCGCACGCGGCTCCAGATCCAGCCGCACCCCGGAGCCAGACCTGTATGAGGCCGACCGCCGAAAGGCCATCGCAGAGCGTGAACTCAACTACCGCAAGTCCAGCATGGCGGAGAGTCTGCTTGCAGATCGTCGCTCCGACACCCATCACAGCCGCGATAGGGACCGGGACCGGGATCGGGACCGGGACCGGGACCGAGAACGGGATCGGGAACGAGACCGCGACAGGGAACGAGACCGGGACAGAGAACGAGACCGCGATCGTGATGGCCATCGCGATAGAGACCGCGACCGCGAACGGGACCGGGACAGGGATCGAGATCGGGAGCGAGACAGAGACCACCGTGTTCGTGACAGGGAGCGTGACCGTGACCGTGGTGAGCGCGACAGGGATCGTGAGCGAGACCGTGAGCGAGACCGGGACCGAGATCTGGACCGACCTCCTCGTTCGCGACGAGATGACGGACCATCTCATTACGAACGCGAGCGCCGTGACCGTGACGAAGAGCGCGAGCGCCTCTATCAGCGCCGGGCAGTAAGTCGGCCCACGGATGAGCTGAACTACGGTGACGAGAAGCCACCTTCATCGACGCCCACGGCGCAGGCTTCATCAGCCTCGGCTGCCGGGGCCACGGCCGGTTCGTCGTCCGTTCGCCGCCGCCGCGAGGATGACGAACCCGACCGAAGGGACTCTCGAGACTCAAAGGTAAGGGCCACCAATGCCACATGGGCTTTCAAGCCAACAGTACGTGCCCTGCTAACCATGTGAACAGAGACTCAAACGCGATCTCTCCAGAGACAAGACGCCCTCGGCGCGGGAGGGTGGCCCGGTTGCTCATCCGCGTGAGACTCGAAGCCCTCAACCTGCACAGGCGACGGCAACTCCCAAGGACGACCCCGCAGGCGTTCATAGCGGGAGCGAAGAGGGCGAGATCGAGGAGGACTGACGCGAGGTGGCGGACTCCTTCCAATCTCGCCACTCCCTTGTATGATTCTCATTCCCTGCGCTCTGATCTAAACAGTTGGATCGTTGATACTCTGCTCCGCAATTGTCTTTTTTTTTCCTGGAAATCGAGGCGATCGGTACCTTAGCCCGCGACCCTCGCTACTGGTGCCCGACTCTACCGGAGGAGGTCAGGACCTTGACATTACCCTTCACAGCCTGCAGCGAGCGATGTTCGACAATACGCGCCGTACCCAGACATGGCCAGGCTCCCTGACTTGCAATCTCCCCGGAACGGCCCCGTCCCAGACTACCTACGCAGCCCATCTTGTTCTTCGATACCGACCCGACAATATCCTCGGCTCCCAACACCGGCAGACCAGCCATTGCCGCCTCCATCCACCACAAACTAGGAAACGAGCGGGCTTACTGGCTAGCGGGCAAGGATCATGGTGTGTATTCACCCTTTCATTCTCCCTTTTCTGAACCTAACATTAGATATTGTAAATTCCATCCCACAAAAAGAAGAACACGTAGAAACTGTCTGCGTGGTGTCACCAGATGTCGCTGCCGTAGATAGCTTGTCGAATAGTGATTCATTCCACTCATTTTCACGGTGCAATCCCCAACGTTAAATACCATATATCTCAATCCTTTCCCGGTGTCGTAGCAAAGTTCCTGGGTAACCAACTGTTGTGAGCCGACCTCTAGTCTTGAATTCGGATGTTTCTACCCAAGCGCATGGCAATCTCTATAGGTTGCTCTATTCACCGCATCTCCAACCCCCAGCTATTGGGTACGTACACATCAATCATCTTCAGTCTTCCGTGTATCCATTCGCTCGTCCGTGTACCGTCTAGCCGGTTTTATGGAACCCCCCACGCTGACGGCAGTCATCCTGCTTGACCCGTTACCCCTCAATCTACGGATGTAAAATAAAAATAAAAAAAATGCCATCCCCTACCCTCCGCTAACCATGTCTAAAGCCTGCCTCGCGACTCCGAGAGGCCTCCCCGCGACTGACAGAAGAACAGGAGGGAAAACAGGCCAAGAAAAGAACAAATCTAGCAAGGATCAGAGACGATATGAAAAAAAAGAAATCCCGGGGAGGCCGGGTGCGCCCCAAGGCCCGGAGTAAGCGAAAGCAGGCAGGTATCAGACAATGAAAACATAAGGGGAAGAGAAGGCATTCTAGAATACATAAACCGCAGGATCAGACAACAGGGGAACACTACTTGCCGCCTGAGCCCGCAATTATGTCCGGGCCGTCGTCGTCTTCACTGCCGTCTTCGTCAAGCCTGGCAGCTTGTCCACGACGACGACCGGACGCCCCATTGGAATTTTGAACGCCGACCACGCCGCCTACAACGCCGGAACCCGATGCATCATAACCGTCATGCTGAAGAAATGGAGGAGAGTTATAGCTTGGGCTGCCCTCTGGGACGCCCTTTCAGGATGACTTCTCCACGTCTTCCAAAAAGAACTGCATTTGAGGTCGGCCGGCGGCCACTCCATTAGTATATACGAAGCATTACACAAAGACTGCACGGGCAGGGTGTGGATAACTCTGGGATAACATACGTAGTTGCCAGCCAGCTTCTGCTCCTGGTCCAGCTGTGACTGGGCCTTGTTGATGCGAGGCCTGAAGTTTGTGGGGTCACGGCGGAAGGTGACATCGAGGTTCTTGAGGAAGCTGTTGCAACCCGTCAGCAGCGACTCGGGGGTGTTGGCGCGGGCGTTGATGCCCGGCTCGCCGTCGAAGACAATGACGCGATCCGCGAGATAGGTGGCCATGATGAAATCGTGCTCGACAATAAAGGCTGTCTTCTTGATGTGCATGACGTAGCGCTTGATGACGCGGGCTGCAATGATACGTTGCTCCGAGTCGAGGTACGCCGACGGCTCGTCGATCAAGTAGATGTCGGCGGGCACACCCAAAGCCAGCACGATGGCGACACGCTGCAACTCTCCTCCGGACAGGTTCTTGACCTCCTGGTCGATGAAGTCATCGAGCTTGAGCGGCTTGACGACGTCGGTCTGGAACTGGGGCGAGAGGAAGGCAGGGCGGATCTTCTTGAAAAACAGCTGGCGGACAGTGCCCTCAAACTTGGGGGTGATGGTCTGCGGCTTCATACTGATCTTCATCTCGGGAACCTTCTTTGCCGAGTCTGGCTTGAGCGCGCCGGCGAGCAGACGGCAGAATGTCGTCTTGCCCGTGCCGTTCTCGCCCATCATGACGATGATCTCGGAGTCGGTGAAATCGCCCGACTCAATCCGCAGCTTGAAGCCGCCGAGCGTCTTCTCCATGGCCGGGTACTTGAAGGAGCGGCTGCGGTCGGTGACGAACTCGTCTGCCGCCTCGGCGATACGGAAGGTAAGCGACTCGTCACGGAACCGCAGATTCTCGGTCGGGATGTGGCCGTCCAGGAAGACATTGATGCCTTCGCGCACCGAATGCGGAAGCGTCACAACACCGTAGACAGCCGGCCGCCCATACAGCACACAGATGTAGTCCGAGAGGTAGTCCAGCACCGAAAGATCGTGCTCGACAACTATGATGTAGTCGTCCGGCCGCAGCAGGGAGCGGATGATGCGTGCGGCACTCAGTCTCTGCTTGACATCGAGATATGATGAGGGCTCATCGAACATGTACACATCCGCTTTCTGGACGCAGACGGTACCGATGGCGAAACGCTGCAGCTCACCACCAGAGAGCAGGTTGATGTCACGGTCGTAGATGTGTCGCAGCTCTACCGCTACTGTCAGCCCTTTGTACAGGTGGTACAGGTGTCAGGCAGGAGGGCACGGTATGGATAGGGGTCACTGTACCAAGAACATCGAGAACCTCGTCCAGGTTGCCCAGAGACAGGCGACCCTCAATCAGCGCCTTCACACTCTTGTCTGTCCCAGCACGGAGTGCCTTGGGGATCTGATCGACGTATTGGGGCTTGACAACAGCCTTCAGGTTATCCTCCAACAGCTTGGTGAAGTAGTCTGACGCACGTCGGACGCGGTCAGCAAACGTCGAGGTCCGTGATACGCACAGTCCACAGAGAGCATGCCGGATACAACATACTCTGCAGCTCCGATCCACGGAAGTATTTGATGACGTCCTCCCAGTCAGGAGGATTCTCGAACCTTCCCAAGTTCGGCTTGAGCTTGCCGCTGAGAATCTTGAGGGCGGTACTCTTGCCAATACCGTTCGTTCCCACAAGACCCAGAACGTTTCCAGGGCGGGGCATGGGCAGGCGGTGGAGCTTGAAGCTGTTGGCCGAGTAGCGATGTGTGACCTGGGACTCGAGGTTCGTGGGCAGGTTGATGATGGTAATGGCGCTGAAAGGGCATTTCTTGGGGCAGATACCACAGCCGATACAGAGCGTCTCGGAGAGGAAGGCCACACGCGATTCCGGCGACACCTCAATGCACAGCTTGCCGCTGCGCACGACAGGGCACGACTTTTTGCACTCTTGACGGCATTTCTGGGTGGCGGGAGGGTCGCGTCAGCAAGGCTTTATCATCGGTAACGGAGCGCCTCCCCCTCGGTATGCGCCGCGCTATCTCCTTCTCTGTCGGAACGGGCAGATACCAACCTTTGGCTTGCACTAATGACGGCAAGAATATGACTGTTTTAGCTTTTCCATGTTCCGTTTATGGTCATGGACCGAGGCCAATCCTGCCTCGAGGTGGGGTCGCGCGCAGAGGGCGCTGTCGTCGCATGCGTACCTTGTCGCTATTGACAATAGCCACACTGTTCGAGACGTCAGTACGACCTGCGCAAGACTGGGCCCAGATGCTCGCCCGGCCACGGCGCGTCGAGTCCACAGGCGTCGTTCTGGCGAGCGCGATCTCCAGCTTACCGTGTAAGTTTGTCCGACATTTTGGGCTTGCGATTGTGGGTGGGGCACCCTCTAGAGCTGGCTGTCGGTCGATCGATTTGGAGTTGCCCTAAAGCGTCGATGGGCAAAGACCTCGGAGCGATTGCGCGGGGGGTCAGGGCGGCGCGGAAGGACGGCCGATGCAGAACACACCCAGCGAAAAGATATCTGAGGTCGAAGGGAGCCGGAAAGGGGGAACGAGAGCGGGGTGGGAGAGGCACGGTTTTAGAGCAATGAGGTGGGTTCTTGTTCCAAGCTGCAGACAACGTCGTCCATCAATCAATCGTGATTTCTGGCGACTTTGGCTCCACTCCCAGGATTTTGTGGCGGGGCAGAGGGCTGTAGGAGAGGGCAAAGAATGACTTGGTTTTTTGTTCTTTTCCTCTCGGCATTTTTTTCTTGGAGGGGCGGATCCCTTCCTGCGTGTCATCCCAATTTGCATATAAATGATAGGCTAGCCTAGCGGGCTTCCCCAACTTTATGTTGAGCCTACTTTGGGGATGTACTGCAAAGACGGGACGGGACGATTTGTGCCGAGTAACAAGAAGATCGCTCTGGTTTTAATGGGTTCTTTTAACTGATACCGACTACCTAGGTAGGTAGGTACCTCCGTGACGTGTGACCAGAAGCCCTAATATCATCTGTGTCTGTTCGCAAGAGTGGCTTTGCTTTCTGCTGTATACATCGTTTGCAACCTTGCGCGCCCGAAAAGCACCAAAAAGTGAATGAATCATGTTGACTGCTGATGATATTGCTGCGATCTGGACGAGAAAGAGATGTTAGGCATCTACCAGTCCCTAGGTACTCATGTCAAATTACGAGGTGACCTAGCTCCCAATTGCATACCTGCAGAGTTGGCGGGGGGTCTCTGGGTTGTATAAGTTGAACCCCCTACCTAACAGAGTGGACTTCTTCCGAGCAAGTGAGAAAATTCGGAAAATACCGAACGAGTGTATCATGCACTGGTGTGATCAAATGCGTTAGGTCCATTGGGTCCTTGGCTTTTTCTTACGAAGAAAAGTGAATAGAGTATTGGGCTTTGCTGTGGTGAAAAGGTTGGAAGTGGTCCGTTGTTTGGCACCGAATTGGACGGAAACAGAAACCTCGCATCGTGGGCAGACGACAGTAAGCCACCTTCACTGTGTTATCCACATTTTGTCGACATTTGGAAGAGGAGGCTCACGAACGTTCAAGGTGGTGGTCAGCCTGGTGCTTGATTCGTGGTTCGCCTGTCCGCCGCCCGCCGCCCGGCTTGTGGCATGCTTGAGTGCCTGAGGCAAGAAAACACAGACCTGTTGGTTCTGCGATAAGTTTGCAGGCGCCGTGGCGCCTTCGGCTGGGGCTGGGGGGCTGGGTGCGGGCGGGCCCCAGGCGGTGGTAAGGCGGTCGTCTGCTGGGGTTCTGGGGTGGTGCTTGGCCTCCATGTTCTCTGGCAAAGTTTCGGCAGCGCGCTGCGCCCAATTCTTTCCGCCCCCCCATGCTCACTCAATCCATGCTCCGTGCCTTCCCACTCACACTCCACCCCCCAGCCAGGCTCTGTCAATTTTCTCTACCAACCTTGGATTCGACCACCACCTGCACATATTTCCTTCGTCTCCTCTTTGGCCGCCCAACTCCAACACTCAGCACGCCCAACACACAACACCCTGTATCAAATAATCCACCGGGCCGACTGTATGTAAATGCTGCCTGGGGGCCACCGACGTTGATGACTTGTGAGTTCCTCCCGCCGACCTGGCCTGTCTGCCCATACCGCATCTGTCATAAAAATACCTGGTCCCTGGAGCCTTGGGTGAAGCCCACCGCGATCGCGTCTCCCCCCTTGTAGCGTCCCTCACCGTCCGTAGCCTGGGCCCGAGCCGCTCCGGACCGGTGAGAATCGATGGGATTACGTCTCCTCGATGCTCGCCGCGTCCTGGAAGCATTTGATGTGCCCCCAGCCTCTTGCGGGCGCGCCAATTGCTTGCCATCGCCTATCAGCCTCGCCCCTATCGAACCCATCCTGAACTTGCGACAACCCTGATATCTCGCCTCCCTGGCCTCGAAAGCGTCCGCTGATGCTCGCAACTTGGTCGCTAGGCCGTGCCCGACGCCTCTACTGTCGCCTGCACCACGCTTGTTCCTTGAAGCCTGGCTAATGTCTTGTGTCGTCTTGTAGCAGGCAGCCTCTCGCCCTCCAGCGGTCATGTCCACATCTCCTGAGCCGAGTCCGACGAATGGACACCTTTCCCCGGTAGCCGTCAGCACAAACCGCTCGGCCGTGGGTCGGAACGACAGCGAGAGCGATCTGTCCGACGTAGGGCTCCAGCAAGACGACGCGCCGTCCCCGGGCTCGGCCAGCGGAGACTCCCCGGCCCCCCAGCACGCTGTCGATGCCTCCGACCACGAATCGGAACCGAGCGACAACGATGTTTCCGACGATGGCGACTTTGATGCAGCCGAGAGCCCCGCTTCTCCCGCCATAATTGCTGAGCAGAGCGAGGCTTCGTCTTCCACGTCGTCCAGCTCGCGACGCGCCGCCGCCAAGCGCAAGGCTGGCGGCTCGCTCGAGGAAGACTACATGAGGGAGAATCCCGAGCTTTATGGACTCAGAAGAAGCGTACGCTTGCCACTGTCCAGTGCCATACGGGTCACCTGCAGCATGCTGACATCAATTGACAGAATCGCCCAACCCAACGTCGAAAAATTGTAGGTTGCCGTTCACTCATCAGTCGCCATGTTCCTCACTAACGAGTATGTGCCTAGGTCGAATCCGACGATGACGATGTCCAAGATGATTCAGAAGACGAGGTCGCCCCGGTAGCTCGGAGGGGGACGAAGAAGAGACGCGTCGAGCGCTCGCAACCTTGTGCGCCTACCTCCCATCCACCCCTGAATATCGCCGTCACCCCTGTAACATTGATGGTCAGGTAGTTTGGTCGCGACCTTTTGCTGATCGGTTCTTATTGTCGTCGCCTATAGCATCCAAACGCGAGACCCCGGCCCGTTACACCTCGATCGATGGATCGGACTCGGACAACTACGGTGGTGCCCGCGCCCGCAGCTTCCAGAAGAAGGCGCGCCGTCAGCAGGAGGCGCAGCCGGCGTTGGCATTACAAGAGAAGAGATGGTCCAGCCGTAGAGCCGCCCAGGTCTCCGTGGGCGCCTACCAGGAGAGTGACGGAGACGACGCCGAGGATGCCGATGACCTCACCCCGAATCATTGGGCTGCCGAGGCGGAGGACGACTCGCCCTATATTGAAAAAATTCTCAGGTATCGCAAAAAAGCCGACGTTGAGCTGTCGCCGGATTCGACGCGGCATGACTTTGAGTATTTCATCAAATGGCAGGGGAAGTCGCACTTGCACGACACGTGGGAGACCACGGAGAGCGTCAACGGCTGCCGCGGTTTCCGTCGCCTGGAGAACTACTTCCGCAAGATCGTCGAGTACTCGCTCGACATGGAGTTTGGGTACGACGTCAGCCCTGAGCAGAGAGAGCAGTGGCTCTTGGACCGCGAGCGTGAGCAGGATGCTCTCGACGACTTCACCAAAGTTGAGAGGGTCGTCGCCGTCCGAGACGGCGATGAGGGAGACGAGTACTTTGTCAAGTGGAAGGGCCTGCAATACGACGAGTGCACGTGGGAGGCTGAGGATTTGATCAGTGGCGAGGCGCAGGACAAGATCGACCAGTTCCTCGAGCGCTCGTCGCGCTCATGGCAGTCGGATCGGAAAGAGTCTAACGCAGACACGCGGACGAGAATGACCAAGCTCGAGAAGCAGCCCGACTACATCCAGAACGGAGAGCTGAGGGAGTTCCAGCTCAAGGGCCTCAACTTTTTGGCCCTGAACTGGACCCGGGCAAACAATGTCATTCTCGCCGACGAGATGGGCCTTGGCAAGACCGTGCAGACAGTCTCATTTCTCAGCTGGCTCCGGAACTCGCGAGACCAGGAGGGCCCGTTCCTGGTCGTGGCGCCCCTCAGTGTCATCCCTGCCTGGTGCGACACGTTCAACCACTGGTCCCCCGATCTCAACTATGTCGTCTACCTTGGACCCGAGGCAGCACGGTCCACCATCCGGGAGCACGAGCTGCTTATCGGTGGCAACCCAAGGAAGCCCAAGTTCAACGTTCTCGTCACCTCTTACGACTATATCTTGCTCGACGCAGATTTTCTTCGTACCATCAAGTGGCAGGCATTAGCTGTTGATGAGGCACACAGACTCAAGAATAAGGAGTCGCAGCTGTACCAAAAGCTCGTTAGCTTCAATGTTCCTTGCAAGATGCTGATCACCGGAACCCCCATCCAAAACAACCTGGCCGAGCTCGCTGCCCTCCTGGACTTTCTCAACCCTGGCAAGGTTCTCATTGACGAGGATCTTGAAATGCTGGGCAAGGAGGCAGAGGTCAAAGAGGAGGACTCGGCAAAGGACGAGGAGAAGCGCCGCGAAACGCAAGCAAAGCTGACGCAGCTTCACAAGGCCATTGCTCCCTTCATCCTCCGGCGGACCAAGGAGACTGTGGAATCGGATCTTCCGCCCAAGACGGAGAAGATCATCCGCGTAGAGCTTTCCGACGTCCAGCTTGACTACTACAAAAATATCCTGACTCGCAACTACGCCGCTTTGAGTGATGCGAGCGGCGGTCACAAGCAGTCTCTGTTGAACGTCATGATGGAGCTGAAAAAGGTCAGCAACCACCCATACATGTTCCAGGGCGCCGAGGAGAGGGTCTTGGCCGGCAGCACCAGGAGGGAGGATTCCATCAAGGGTCTCATCACAAGCAGCGGGAAGATGATGCTGCTTGACCAGCTCCTCGCCAAGCTCAAAAAGGACAACCATCGTGTCTTGATCTTCAGCCAGATGGTCAAGATGCTCGACATCTTGGGCGACTACTTGCGCGTGCGGGGCTATCAATACCAGCGGCTGGATGGCACAATACCTGCGGGACCACGGCGCATGGCCATCAACCACTTCAACGCCGAGGGTAGCGACGACTTTTGCTTTCTTCTGTCCACACGTGCCGGTGGGCTGGGCATCAACCTGATGACGGCCGATACTGTCATCATCTATGACTCTGATTGGAATCCCCAGGCAGATCTGCAGGCAATGGCTCGCGCTCATCGTATTGGGCAGAAGAAACCAGTCAATGTGTATCGTTTGGTTGCCAAGCAGACGATTGAGGAGGAGGTTGTGAAACGCGCCCGCAACAAGCTGTTCCTCGAGTACCTGACGATCCAGGCCGGTGTGACCGACGAGGGCAAGGCTCTGCGAGAGCAGTTCAAGGAGAAGGGCATCAGGCTCGACGAAGCCAAGACGGCCGAAGACATCCAATACATCTTGAAGATGCGCTCACAGAATCTGTTTGAGCAGTCGGGCAACCAGGAGAGGTTGGAGCAGCTCGACATCGACTCGATTCTGGAAAACGCTGAGGTGACCAAGACCGACGTGGATGACAAGATGAACTTGAGCAGCGGAGGCATCGACTGGGACAACTGGATGCACTTTACCGACGTCAAGGTGGACGATCTGGCTCTCGACTGGGATGACATCATCCCCGCCGACCAGCTGGCCATGGTCAAGGCCGAGGAGGACAAGAAAAAGCACGAGGCCTACCTGGCTCAGGCGATGGAAGAGAACGCTCCACGCAAGGCGACTCTCAAGGGCTCGAGGCGACACGGTGCCGGGAGCGGAAGTATAGACTCGGAACGCGCAGAACGCATAGCCAAGAAGCGACAGCGGGAGAAGCAGGAACAGGAGGAGCTTGCCGAGCAGCGGGCACTGTTGTCGGATCCCAGGCGGCCCCTTAACGAGAGAGAGACGAGAAACCTGATCAGGGCCGTCTTCCGCTATGGTTCTCTCGACGACCGTGAAGAAGAGGTTCTGCAGGAGGCACGGCTGACGGACCGGGATCCCGAGTTCCTGCAGTCCATTGTGGCTGACCTTGTCTCCCACGCGCGGACGGCCCTGGACGAGAACACGCGGAAGTTGCGTGAGGAGGAAGAGAGGAGCGGCAAGATCATTGCCAAGAAGGACAAGAAGGCCGTCCTTGTCGATTTTGGCGAGGTTAAAAAGGTGAACGCCGAGACGGTCGTCGACCGGCCGCCGCAACTGAAGCTTTTGAGGAAGGTCCTCATAGAGCATGGCGAGAATTCGACCTTTAGGCTGCCTGACGCAAGCAAGGCCGCACACTACTCTTGCGAGTGGGGGCCTCGCGAGGACGGCATGCTGCTGGTCGGGATCGACCGGTACGGCTTTGGCGCGTGGGCCCAGATCCGCGACGATCCGGAGCTGCTCATGGATGGCAAATTCTTCCTCGAGGAACATCGCGTCGAGAAGAAGGAGGAGCGCAAGGCGGGCAACGAGAAGACGATCCAGTCCCCCGGCGCCGTCCATCTCGTCCGTCGGTCCGAGTATCTCCTGTCGGTCCTGCTTGCCAAGCACTCGAACGATGCCGCGGCGCAAAAGGCCGTGGAGAACCACCACCGCAGCAAGAAGAACCTCCTCATAAACGGCCATCGCCGGAGCGACGTGGGCTCAGCATCGCCGGCGCCGCAGATGTCGAAGCGGCCGAGCCAAACCAAAGACCGCAACCGCGACCGCGCCTTCTCGCTTGGCGATCATCGATCACACAGCAACGGCGACCGTGGCACGCCAAGCCGTGATCACAAGCGGAAGCACGAGAACGACCACGACGACCGGAGCAGTAAGCATCGCCGGGTTGAGGAGCGTCACGGAAAGGACAAGGAGAAACGCAAGAAGCTGGACCCAGAGGCCATCGAGCGGCTCAAGAAGGCTCGAGAGAAGGCGGTGCAGCGGTTCGAGGAGCTGATGAAGCTGGACGACAGCAAGCTGGACCACGCCAACTCGGAGCACCTGATATGGTCGTTGCTCAAGCCTGTGCGCAAGAACTTTGAGAAAATCATGCACACGACGGCCGACAGGATCGAGAATGCCAAAGAACGTGCTAGGATCATGGGCGAGGAGCTGAAGCATATCGGCGATTGCTTCGCGGACATGAGGGCTAACAACGACGGCGTGCCGGCGGATCAGCTGGAAGAGCTGATGCCTCGATTTTGGTAGGTCCCTTCTGCCCCATGGTGAGGAGGCTATGCTGCTCCATGCATATGACTAACAGGGTCTGGTTTGTTGCACCAGGGATTTCTTGTCTTCTGTCTGGCCTGTGCACGAGGTCGACGTGTCGGGAAAGCAGCTGGCCAAGATGTACATGACACTGAAGGAGAAGAAGGAGAAGGAGAAGGAACAGGCCAGGGGAGAATTATCGATCCCCAAACTCAAGAAGCATCGCCGCGACCTTGAGGACGGCGAGATTGACACGGAGCGAGAGTCGGCGGCTCGGTACGATGCGGGCGGACGAGGGTCAGACCATCGTCGGGACGGGGATGACTACTACCGCCGCGATGACCGTCGGGATCGTGACCGCGAGTGGGACGAGCGGGATGCCAGGCGCCGATATCCTTACGAGAATGGCGACCGTCTCAGCTTCAAAAAGGTGGACCGGCGCGATATCGTTGACCGGGGACGGCAGTCATGGCACCACAACCCCAGCCCGCACCGACACAGCCCTTACTAGCCATGTCCATGTACAAATCGCGCACCGATACCACTATGCGGCCGCGAGATGAGAGGGAGCTGACGAGATCAAAGGTCGATATCGACGGGCTCATTGACTGTAGCGCCCACGTGCGTATCACGACACCACTGGAGCCATAATCTCCGCTGAACAAGCGCCAAGTACAACCTACCAACGCATCATTTACTTGTTAATTTTTTCTCTTGGCCTTTTTTTTTTTGCCTTCTGATTTCCTCTCCCTGTCCCTCTCCCTCTCGCCTATACTCCTACCACGATAATTGTGAGTTCTGCCCTTTTGATCTTCCTCTGATATTGCATATGGCCTGGCGTAGAGTTTGGGCCGGCATGTCGACAGTGGCGTTTCATTTTCTTTTCTTTTTTTTTGTCGTCTTCTCCCGTCGCGTCCGCCGTCTTTGAGCGCTTCCTTGCTCGCTGAGTGTGGCGATCTTCTAAAGAAAAAGAAAGGCAGAGACCGTCGAGTTGGTGTTACATACCCGGGAAAATAACTCTTTTGCACCGCACATACCATATTTCTGGGTGTTTGTTGCCTGCTGGCTTTTCTTACTGGGGCGCCGAGACAGTGGGACAGGCAGGCCCGATGGGCATACTTGCTGCCGAGTCGGGTTTGGGTTCGCTGAAAAGCTTTGATTTTCTGGGTTGCTGGGGCGTTGACGGGATCACAAATAAATACAACTGGGAGCGATGAATCAGATATGTTCTCACTTGAATTATGCCATGCCACCCTACATCCTGAGCAAGTATCACAGGCAACTAACTGAACTGGTCGCACAGATACGACTTGATTCTTCCATTGTTTTAACGCAGCCATGTTTACACCTGTTTCGCCGACACCTGGGCCTTGAAAGACTCTCTATAATCGCCATGCACATCCGTCTAATTCGTGGCCTGTGTGGCTCTGGGAGCAGAGCATGTAGCCAGAAAGAAAGCAAAGGGAGGGAAGAAAAGCAAAAAAAAGAAGAAAGTAGGTAAAAAGGTAAAAGTGAAGCGATCAGAATCAACAAAAGGGTCATGTTTATTAACAGTGGAAGTTGCTCTTTTCCACGCCGATTACATGTCCATCTTCTAGTCAATCAAGTGGGCCATTAGACGTGGCTTGGATTTGGGCGAGATGGTTTCGATTGAGCCCAGGCTTTCCAGGCGGCGATCGTCGTCCCCGAGGTCTGATGACGAGCTACTTGGGCGGGGACTTGCCATTGTCACGATGGGTGCCGGAGCGAGCTTGGGTGGCCTCCCTGGTCGGAGCGAGGGGAGCTGCGGTTCGTCCTCAGTGAAGTGCATGAGCGATGAGAGGTCTGGGGATGGGGGCTGGCGGACTTGTTTGGGCACCACAAGTGCCATGGCCTTCTTCTCGGCCGCAAGGGCAATCGCCGACCGCGCCTTGGTGGCCTTGAACGCCTTGGTGAGATCAGCAGCGGCAAGCTTGCCCCCCTTCTTGGCGGCACCCTTGGTAGGTTGCCTGGGCTTCTTGGTCTTGGCGGCTGGCTTCTTAGCGGCGGTGTTGCTGTCCGTTTCCTCTTGCCTACCCCTTTTCCGATCACCAAATTTGAGCGTGCTCTGTTTCGCGCGAGAGGACGCCGTGGGAAGCTTCGACGGGGGCCGCGCATTCTCAAGACGTGGGCTTGCGTTAGGAGTGGGAATACCCTGGTCAACCAGCCTAGACTTGGCGTCCGATAGTGCCGACGAAGCCACAGCTGTATCCGAGACTGATGGGGGAATGTTGACAACAGGGCCCTTGGAGTGGCGTTGCTGCCTCGCGTCCTCGACATCGGCCGTGACTTCCCAGGACTTGTCGCTCTCGGGCGTCTCTTGCATCTGATCCCAGCGGGGCAGATTCACGAGCTCTGCCACGTCGTCGCACCGAGCTTTGACCACAAGGTCCCAGCAGTCCTTGAAATCCTGAGGCTCACCATCGACATTAATCCAGGCGGTGAAGCCATCGCGGCGGCTGCGCGTGCCCTTGCACATCTCGCGGACCAAGCGGCGGACGCCAGGGATCTTCAAAGTCGTCCCTACCACGATGACGGCGTCGGGGATACGGCGCAGGTCTGCACTTGACACTTCGCCGATAGCGTCGGCATCGGGATTGTACTCGTTGTACAGAACGATGCGGGGCCGCAGGCGACCGATTCCGTGGCTGCGCATCTGGCAGGCGACACGGGCCTGGTCGTTGGCCTCACATATCGGGCACGATGGGGGTTTAGGGCCATCGAAGCGCCTGTGGTCGAAGTCCTGGAGGCGGCCGCACTTGGTACAGACCATATGTTGCAAGCCTCCGTGCAGCTGAATGGTCTTTGGCCAAGGCGCCTTGTGTGCGAGTGGAACTTCGGTCTTCAGCGGCTCCATATCCGTGTCGAGGCAATCGATATTTTGCGTGTACAGCCGCATCAGCCGGCCCTCTTGGGCCATGGAGGCGAGCATGTGGTGGAACGGTGTGGGCTGCGCACGCTCGGTTATGGTGGCCAGCTCCTTGAGCATTTTGTGGAAAGCCGACGTGGAAAAGTCATCCTTGTACACAGAAACGTCAAAGAGCTGCTTGCCAGACGATTTTAGCTTGTGCTGCCCTCGCAGCGTGGTGAAGAGCCCGTTTGAAGATCGGAAGTCGGGTACTGGCAGTTGAAGTTAGCACCATTGTCGGGAGGATTATGCATCCCGGCCTAGAATCGAAGTGACGGAGGAGAGATAGACAGGAAGGAACAAGTGTAGATAGCAAGATAAGGCAGTCAAAACAAGGAGTGTGCAAGAAGGTGGAGCTAGGCAAGACGTACTGCCGGCGGAAACGGAGATACCAGCACCCGCGATTACAACGATGCGTTTCTTTTTCCGCAATGCCGTCATAAGGCGCGTAAGTAACTCTTCTTGTTCAGGGTTCTCGCTGGTCTTTTCTAGGTCGAGGTACTCGGTGGTGCGAACACGCGGTTCCTTGGACGTAGAGGGTTGGACCTTGCGGCGTTTGGCTGGCGGTGGGCCATCGGTACGAGCGTAGATCTGTTGCTGGACGGACCGTGTCGACGACGACGGCAATGGGCGACGCCGTGGAGGATCCTGGGGCTTCGACGGAGAGGCGCATCCCGAAGGGGTCGTGTCGGTAGAGCTTGGTGAGGGATACCTCATTGACGCGTCAAACTGAGGTGGTGATGATGGCAGGGACGGCGAATTGGAGAGGACAGAGAGTGGAGACGAAGGCGTGCCGACAGACGAAGCAACGACAGAAGAGAGCGGCGATGAGGACGGCAGAGGTGTCCGTTTCGGCTTGGGCGTCGTGCTGTCGGACAGCATGCTGGCCTTTGCAGCCCCTTGGGGGACGGCGACTTCGGTTGGGACGGGTGGCGCAGGCAAGGTCGGGAAGGCAGACGCGCAGACCGGCTGCATCACGAGCGAGGGACGGTGCCCGTCGTTGTCGCGCGGGACTTGGGGGCTGAAAGCGAGCGGGTGAGGATTCGGCTTGCCTTTGATCTATATCATGGCTGGCGGGCGAGGGACCGGGCTGTTACAGGCTCTTCATGTTGGAGAAGAGGCTCAGATACAGGAACGCAAAACAGGTCGGTCGAGGAGGTGTTTTGATCTAGGAATAGGTGCCGGTTGGCTGACGGGATCGGACAAGGAATGCAAGAGAGACAAGAGATTGAGCGAGCGCCTTGCGGAGGTTGCTTTTGGCTGCGCTCTTTGCTGTTGATTTGTGGAGACTAGGCGGAGGACTCGAAGCACAGGAGTGGATGGAGCACTGTACAGCCGACGCTCTTGCCGGTACCCAAATAGCTGTGCACTCAACTGTGCGGGTACGTGCGTGCTGTTTGCTTCCCCCGGTTTTGGGCCCAGAAGGGAAGGCGGGAAAGGTGCGTCAACAAACGTCGACACGTCCTTTGGCCTCTCGCTCCCACTGCTCCAGCAATGTTTGGTGCCCGATGGAGAGGAGAGACGGACCCGAAAAAACAAAGCCAAAACCCAGGAAAACCAATTGGTGAACAGACAAATTGCCATTACTTCTACCCCGTGTTTCAGACGGCTCTTCTCTCGTCTCCTCTCCTCCCAGCCTCGGGGTCACTTGCAGCTCCTGAGGGGGAGGACCGGTGGGCCCTTGCGCAGGCGGCATAATTGGTCGCAATTTGGCGGGCCAGGCCATGTGCCCGTGACGCACAGGTTGGTGGTGATCGATTGCGCTGACCGCCTCAGGCCCCTGCCCGCTGATGGCTGGGTTGCTCGGAAACGTTCCAGCAGCGATCGACGAGCCACGAGCCTTCTCAGGGGCCCGCCAGCCAGGTGCCAGATTTCCTGGCTGGCGACCCACCGTGCGCCAAGCCAATCAGCTGAGTGGCGCACACAGCTGGGCTGGGCCTCGACTTGATCAGACTTGACGTCTTTGGCAGCGGCCGCGAAACAAAGGTCTTTGTTGAGCATCCAATCAACCGCATCGAGTCTTTCGCTGCTTGTCGTTCGGGCTTTGCACACAGCCTTGCCATGAGAGCCTAGCTGGCTGTCGGGCACCGCTTTTTTTTCTTGTTTATGGTATAATATCCATTCATCTAGGCGTTCAAAGCGGCAGCATGTCATGCTCCCCGTCTTCGCCTCATATATCTTCGGTTGCCACTGTAGCATGAGCTGGCTGCAACATCTTATTCTTTCCCAATCTATTTATTCACTTTGAATAACAATCTGTGCTGGTGCGCAGCCCTAACCTGGTGAGGCTATCCGCGTCAGCTATGCCAAGCGGTCGCACCCTAGCATCCCCTTTTGGTTCACTGGCAGCATAGAGCTTCTCCTGAGAGAGACCACAACGCCCCCAGGCCACCGGCGCGCTGCGCACAGGCACAATGGACGCCACCATGGATCCGGGAATGGCCGTCGACCTTGAGGAGGTCGACCTGTTCGGTGATCCTGTCGCTGTCAGCTTGATGTCGGCCACTCGCCCGCCCCCCAGCAAGCAGCTACTGTCACGCCTCGACGAGATGAGAGGCCGTGGCTGCTGTCAGAAGATTGCATGGTCGCGCCAGGGCACCATAGCCTCCGTCTCGGCCGATGGTCGCTCCGTCGATCTGCGCTACCTCCGGAGCCACCCAGACGACGCCGCATGGGGACTGAGTGACTCGACCACATACAGCTCCTTTGGCTCAGTCGCCCCTCAGACTGGTGGCGGCCAGATCGCTCACCTCGCCTGGGCCTCCTCCGGGAATCCCGAGCTGGCCGTCGTCGACGATGTTGGCCGTGTCAGCTTTATCCAATGCCCCGTCAGCCTCAACCGCGCCTTCACCACTAGGACATGGGACGCCGACCCGGTCGATGAGCTCGGCGCCGTCGTAGGCTGCTACTGGCTGCCGCTGGCAACCCCCGGCAAGCAGCAGTACACGGCCCTGCAGGGTCCCGCTGTTCGTGAGGGCAACGGCTGGAGGTATGAGACGTCGTACAAGCCTGCCATCGGGCCCTCCCACCCGAACCCGTCCAAGAGCGCCTTTGTGTGCATCACCGCCGGCGGGACGCTCAAGATGTTTTACTCGCAGCCCAACAACAAGATTCAGGAGACTTCGCTGGAGCTAGAAAACATCGGCGGCTCTGACGATCTCATCACGCACGCCTCTATCTGCCCCGACAGAAGCAGCAGCGGCCTGTGCATCACCCTTGCCCTCACCTCCAGGCTGCTCAAGCTTGTGAAGGTCGCCATCAACTGGGGCCTGCCGCCGCAGGTGGACAAGCAGAACCCCCCAAACACCCACCCGCTAAATCCCACATTCAAGGAGAAGCGTATGGCCGTCGTGAGCTGGATGCCGCTTGGGGGGCCGCCGCCGGGGCCCGAGCCTCCCCTGGATATTTCCATGGCTCACATCTCGCTTCTCGAGCTGCTGCCTACCACGCTGGGGCCCAACAATCAGCAGGGATTCGTCCCGCCGCTCATCCTGGCCGTGCGGTCGCACGTATCGCCCTTTAGCCACATCGTGCAGAGCGTCCTGGACGTCTGGGAGATCGTGGATGATCAGGCGCAATCAGCCCAGCCCCAGGCCCTGCACTCGGCCTTCCAGCAACTCAGCTCCCGCACCGGCGCTCCCGCCCCGCAGCCGGCCACGCGCCTCCACCGGCTGGACCCTATCTGGCTCGACAAGGTGGCCGTGTCCATCCAGCTACTGCACCCGGGGAGGGTCATCTGTCTCGTCTTCAGCGACGGCACCGTTCAGCATCGTGACCGTCATACTCTCGAGGTCATGTACGCCAGTCCTGATCTCGAGCGCGTCTCGGCCCTGGATGGACTGGGCTTCCGGTTCGCCGACGAGACACCCTGCCTGCAGGCCGCCTTCTCGCCCACGAGCTGCTCCTTTGTGCAGGTCTGCGAAGATTCCAAGGTCAGGTGGAACAGCCTGCGCTACCCTGCTGCCGATATCGGCTCGACCACGCAGGACGCGCAGTACTACGCCGTCGTGGCTGGTCTCGCCATGTCCGTCGCGGCGGCGTCATCTCACACCAACTACGATGACATCTTGGCTATCGGGCGCCAGTTCATCGACAAGCCTCGTTTTGCGTACGACTGGGTCATGGAGGTGGCACGGGTGCTCAAGATCCATATCGACTACTCGGAGGAGGCGCATCACGACCAGCTCGTGCGCAACCACCACCTGCAGCTCTGCCTCAGCATTCTGCACCACATGGGGCTGTATGGCGAGTTCCGCCCGCGCTCATTTGGGGGCAAATTCGGCGCTGTGGCCCTCGGCATCCGCAGCATCGTTATCCTGATAACGATTGCCAGTCACACATACAAGGCGGACAAGCTCGTGCCGCTGGACGAGCCCGACGTTGTGGACGCGCTGGCGACGGGCTCCAAGTGGACGCTGGATGTGCTCTCGTGGCTGGCCGAAAGCCTTTTCGATCTTGCCGACGATGCCAAGTTCGAGGCGCTGCTGAACCCGACCGACTGGAAGAACGTCATGGAATACCTGCATAGCCGTAACAACGATATCGCCCTCCATCTTCTGCTCTGCTCCTCGACGAGGGGATTTATCCAAGCTGCCTGCCGGCGTCTCATCCACCTGGATTCCCTCAGCCACAGAGCTACAGATTATTACGAGAAGAACTACACGCAGGCGCCGGGCCAGGACAGCTCTGCCGTCCCAAGCAACCGGCTGCATCTGTCATATCAGCGAATGCAACGGTACACGTCCTCTAGCCTCATCAAGGTGGCTGAGTTTGGAGAGCTGCTGTCGGTCTTGGGCAGCGAAATCCGAAGTGCATACGAGGTGATGCTACGGCCTCTAGCGGAGCGACAACGACTGCAGCAGCGTCAACAACAGCAGCAGCAACAGCAGCAGGGGCCCAACGGCAACAAAACGCAACAGCAGCAGCAACAACAGGGCGGCCCAGATCAGGCAGTCAAGCGTGCCCAGGCTCAGTGCGAGCTGTCGTTATTGCTGGGCAACGCGCCGCCCAACGGATTTATCCCCGTGCTCAAAAAGTTCTTCTTTGAAGTTAACCTGCCCGCTTTCCGGGCCCAGACGGACCGAGCGCAGCTGTTTTTTGCAGACTTCACCCTGCTCGATGTTCTGGACGACCGCCGCAGCCTCCAGGAAAGACGCGCTCGGGGCAAGCATGTCGACGCCTTCAAGCGCTCTGAGATTGAGCTTGCCCCCAGGAATGACGGCGCAGTGGCATCGGCGACAGGACGGCAGCAGCAGCCGGGAGCGAATGGATCAACGGGCGTCCTGCTCCGTCGACGGTGCGTCCGGTGCGCGGCGGTCATGGAAGACGTGACGGCACAGAAGCCGGCCGTCACCCTTGTTGTCGCACAGCAACGAAAATGTCCCTGTGGGGGGTCCTGGGGCTTGCTAGCCAAGGGGGCTACAGCTGGCTAGGCTCGCATTGGGGCGGCTGGGTCATTACCACAATGCTCCTGTTGAAGCGGGCATAAATGGCTGGTTTGAACATCAAGGATTGGAGGCGTTGGGGGAAAGGAAACATCTTATATTCTTGGGTCGCCTTGATTCCTGCGGCTTTTTGCTCGCTCTTTCATTACTATTAGTATTTTCATGACGCCTCGATGGATTCTTCTATCAGCGATAGTATAGATACGTGCCTAGTTTCAGCGTAAAAGTGGCTAGCCAAGTAGCCATCAACAGCCTGTTGTGCGCACTCGCAGCTGTGATGTTTGATTAGAAAGAGTTGAGACGAATGGAACCGGAAATGCGAGCTGTGGACATGATGCTTAGAAATTCATGGTGGTTGCTCGTCAATCAGCAAACAGGGCAGCTCAGTGGTACCGCCAAACCCCACCCACCAGCTTTTGAGTATGACACAGCGGTCCAGACTGCATCTCAAAATAAACCTCCCCAGTCCGCCACTCTTAGAATCTATACTGCTCTAACAATCTCTTGCAAACTCGGTAGTATCAGAACTTTGCAAATCAAGGCCAGCACACAAGGTACAGGGCAAAGAACGAAATCATGTTCACCGGAATTGTCGAAGAGATTGGAGGTGCGTCATCGCCGAGCCGAGTTGAGGTCCTCTCGTCTCTTCTAGGGGCATACCGG